CTAATTATATTCATGAACAAGCAGCAAATGAGAAGGAATTAGAGAACAAAGGGCAAGAATAACGCCATGTCCTGAAGATCAGAAAGAGCAAGAACTTGCCCAACAAGATATCAGGCCTTAGCTATAATTAGCTAAGATGGTGTGAAATAGCAGACTTACCCATCCTTTTTCTTTCCAGCAACCTTTCAGTCTTTAAGCCACTGGGCTGGGCTGAACCAGGCAAGTGGGTGAACAGGATGGGGAGGGGCTGAGGTGTGGGAATCACTTGCCAAGCCTGGAGGAGTGTCTTCATGGGAGAGAGAGCCTGGTAGAGAGGCCGAGCGCACTGAGGACATCCCTCAGTGGGACAACCAGCTGGGTCTTGTCAGGTCCTGAGGAGGATGATCGGGGCCTCCTGAATGAAAGCTGCCACATTGTCAGCCTGAGCAAGTGAAGGCAGCAGTTTTTGTACTAAGCAGGGCGGCTGTGTAGAATGAGAGGCAGGTAGACCTGGCAGGGGAGAGGGGGAGGCAGAGGCTGCAGTGTCCAAAAAGAGAAATGTGTCCCTCCCAAGTCCAGGGAGAAGAGAGCTTTAGAATGGGGGACTTGTTTGCAGAGTCAGCTGGTTTGGAGAAGTCGAATAGAGCGAGGACTGAATTTGTTCTTTTGTTGCTATAGGTTTGAAGGGTTTTGAGTTGCCACGTCAACAGCAGGAGTGAATGTGAATCATGAAAGGAGAACATGAAAAGTGTGTATTAGTCCAGAAAGATGGTTGCCATTGGTGAAGAAGAGGGTACCTTAGGTTGGCAGGGTGGAGGGAATAGTACTCTGAGAAGGACAGAGATGGGGTTATTTTGTGCTGTGCAGAAATGTCCAATAGAAAGAGAAGTTGAAGACAAGACAAGAAGGAAGAATGGGAGAGTAGAAGAAGGCTGTGCAGAAAGGGCACACACGTACTCTAGTTGCAGTAAAAATCTTTGTTGGTGGGGCACCTCGTTTTTTCTTTAGGAGCGCTACTAGAAACAGTGCTTTTTATATTATTTTATGCTTGAATTTCCATCATTGGGATAATTGTCTCAGATCATATATTTAAGATTTTGATAGACATTGACAAATTGCCTGCCATTGGGATTTTGGCCATTTGAACTCTCCCTGGAGATACTGTATCCGTTCTTTGTTGCTATATATGTTTTATTTTAAATATCTTCCTCTTTTACATAGATATGAGATTGAAGAGTTCAATATTTTAAATACCTTCTATGTAAAATTTTCAGGCTGGTTTCTAGAATTTTGGTTTGTATCAGTTCATTAATAGTCACAGATTTCATCCAGTTATGCATATATGTAGCTCAAAACATTTGTACACCTTACAAGTTCTTGCACCTGCAGATATATGAAGGTGTGTGAGAGTAACATGCACATGTGGATACATATTATATATATACCCCAGAAACAGTTTTTCTGGGGCCAGAGAGATAGCACAGTGGGTAAAGCACTTGTCTTGCATGTGGCCACCCCTGGTTTGATCCATGGGATGCATATAGTCCTCCAGCATTCCTGAGTACAGAACCAGGACTAAGTCCTGAGTACCACTGGGTGTGCCCCCCACAAAATAAAAATAAACAATTTTTAAACAAGGGTTTTCTTTTGAGTATTTTAGGTTGTTGATTGTGACTTTTAGAACTGATTTTAAAAACTTCTAACTATGAAGCAGTTGGACTTGTACCTGCTTGTGAACATTTTAAAGAGTTCTTTTGAAACAGTCTGAGCTAAACACTTCCTCAGAACTGCTGTGAGAAGCTCTTGTTAGCGGTGTTTGGTATGTAAAGCCATTGGTCAGTGTGTGCTGCTTTCTTCCAGGGATGTGCTTAGAATACAGAAGAGGAACTGTCTGAACAGAACCAGCATTCTTGTGCATAAGAATGTCCCTTCCTCCTCCGTTTGTTGTTAAATTCTCAAGTTGTTCTGATTTCTTTAGCTTTCCCAAACTTGTGGCTTTACAGTAGTTGTACTTACTCCTGTATCTTCTCTGACTTAAGGATTCCTGTCGTAAAATGCATCTGTACTTAAAATTTTTGAAACATAGAACTCCTTGTTTAGTTTTAAAGGCGCTTATTTGCCATGCTGAGGATCAAACCCAGGGCTTCACAAACCGAAGACAAGTGCTCAACCACTGATCTACATACCCAGCTCTAACTTTTTATTTTGAAATATTTTGGAATTACAGAAAAGTTTTAAATATGGTACATATTTACCAGCATTCACCTTATTCAATTTTAAATAATATCAAAGAATCTAGGGTAAAGTTTCTGCAACTCTAAGTTTCGTATGTCTTGTAAGTTTTAAGACCTGGATTTGATCCCTGGCACTTCATTAACAGAGACCTCTGCCTATAGAAATTAAAAATAAATGGGGGCTGAGGGGGAGAATTAGAGAAATGGTACAGTGGATAAGGCTCTTTCTTTGCATATAGCTGACGTGGATTCAATCCCTGGTATTTTATATGATCCTCCAGGCCACACTAGGAGTGAACTTTGAGCACAGGGCCAGGAGTAAACTGAGCACAGCCAGATATGGCCCCCACACAAAAAACTGAAATAAATAAATAGAGATCAAGCAGATGACTCAAAGAGTTGGAGCACATGTTTTACATTCAAGAGCCTCAGATTTTATTCCCAGCACCGCATGGTTCCCCCAGCATTGCCAGGTGTGGCTCCCCACAATGATCAGTACCACTCCCCTAGATATTATGGATATCTATAATGCCTCTCAAACCATCTGTTATTATACAGCTGCATTAGGTGAAAGTACATACTCATAATGGGTTGTTGTTTTTTTCCCCCTCGCTTTTTGGGTCATACATGGCAATGCACGGGGGTTACTCTTGGCTCTGTGCTCAGGAATTACTTCTGGTGGTGCTCAGGGGACCATATGGGATGCCGGGCATCGAACCCAGGTTGGCCGTGTGCAAAGCAGACGCCCTACCCGCTGTGTTATTGCTCCAGGCCCATAATGTTTTTTTAAGACAAATTTACCCTAAATATGTTTTTACACCTTCATTTTAAAAATTACATTTAAAATCTTTATATTTTATAGAGTGCCACCCATATTCTTACCCTAAACATTTTCTTGGGCTGGAGCGATAGCACAGCGGTAGGGCGTTTGCCTTGCACGCAGCCAACATGGCCGACCCGAGTTCGATTCCTCCGCCCCTCTCAGAGAGCCCGGCAAGCTACCGAGAGTATTCGATATGCCAGACACAGTAACAACAAAGTCTCCAATGGAGACGTTACTGGGCCCGCTCGAGCAAATCGATGATCAACGGGAGGGCCTTTACTTTACTTACTTTTAAACATTTTCTTACACCTTCATTTTAAAAATTACATTTAAAATCTTAATATTTTTTAGAATGCCACCACATTCTTACCTTGAAGAATTAAATATTTGAGAAGAGCTAAAACTGATGAATTTTGACTCAAAGATCATATAAACAAATATTAAGGCAGCCGCAGTCAGGTTTCTTCAGCGTGAACATTGCTAACCTCTGCTTTGTGAAGACATTGTGGTGGGGATGTGGTGGTTTGGACCACACCCAGTGGTGCTCAGAGCATACTCCTGACTCCAGACACCTTACCTTCTGTGCTATCTCTCCAGCTCGCTATTTTTTTAATTTTATTTTATTTTTATAAAGCCGTTCAGAATAGTTGATTACATTTAATATTCAAACACCAATCCCACCACCATCATATTTCAGATGTTTCCATCCTGAGCCCCAACCCCTGCCCCAAAGCAGAACCGAAATAATTTATTTTGTATTGTTTTTTAGGAATAAACCACTGAAAATGATGCAAAAAAAAAACTTTTCTTAGAGGAAAGAATGTGAAGATTTTTGTATTTCAACCAGTGGCAGTAAGCCCTTGTATTAGAGGTTACTAACATGGTTTTTCAGCTGCTAGGGCTAGATCTCTTCTGGTGGGGAGGGGCAGGGGGCGGGTGAGACCCGCCCCCTCCCCCCAAGTTCCCTGAATCAAACGGTCTGGCATGGAATCCGGCGTCCAGTCCTCATTGTGAGGAAATTAACAGAGACCTTACCAATCATATTTTAGACTTTCAAAACAACTCATAAATTGCCAGATGAAGAATATTTTTAAAAAAGAGGGACTGCTATGTTTTCAAAAGAAATAATTCCATCATCCCCACAGTGGGCTACTATTTAGGTAGAAATTAGAAATACAATTAAATGTACAAGGTTTGTGGGGGGAAAAGCATTTTAATTTAGGTTATTCTTCGGTTATTAGTTTATCTATAATAGTTTCACAAATAATGGGAGGAGAACAGGAAAGATGTATTAAACTTTTCCAAATACGCTAAATTGGAAGATTTGATACTGAAGAATAAATTTCAGAAAGATTTCTTTTTTGTTGTTGTTGTTTTTTTTTTTCTTTAGGAAGATTTCTTAGAGTTGTGTGAATAGAAAAAAGGTTAAGTGATCAGTTGTTCATTGATAACTTTAAAGTAAAACATGAAGTGGTAACTTCTAAACTGTGTTATTGATCACTTAGAGGCTTAAAGGAGATGATTTTTGAAGGAGATGGATATTGTTATTGGGAGGTAGTATATATCAGAAGTACATAAAAACATGCCAAAACGTAGAAATGCATGATTTTTCCTTTTTGGTTTTTTTTTTGTATTTAGCTTATTTTTGTTAATATTTTTGGTTTAGGGCCACACATGGTAGTGCCCAGGGCTCACTCTTCATCTCTTAAGGGACAATACATGGTTGCAGGATCCTCCATTCAGATTTTATCCATAAGAATATCATGATTATTTAGAAAAATAAAATTTGCTTAAAGTTTCCCCTTGTTTGAACATAGACTCCAGAGATAATTGCAGTTGTTTCCTTCACTGTAATCAGTGTTAACTCTTTAAATAGCATTTCCTCTCAGCAAGTTCCTCCTTACCCATTTTTAAAGAAGTACAAGGTAAATTTAAAATGTTTTTGTCATTCTTCTCACTTACAGGATGAACTCTCAGATGTTAGTCAAGGAGGATCAAAAGCTACCACTCCAGCGTCACTAGCTGCTTCTGACGTGGCAGTGATTCCTACTGATACCCCCTTAAAGGAAGATGAAGGCTTTGTGAGGGCAGCAGATGCACCAAATAAGTCAGAGATAAACAAACATATTGAAGTACAGGTAGCCCAGGATACTAGAAATGTGTCAACTGGTGAGTGACCCTGGTTCTCTATTTCATTTTGAAATATTTTGTCAGTCCATATTAGGATGATATGTTTTGGGGGAGGGGGCAGTAGTTACTTTCTGCTTTTGAGCTATCATTGAATAAAGGCCCTCCCGTTGTTCATTGATTTGCTCGAGTGGGCCCAGTAACGTCTCCATTGGAGACTTGTTACTGTGTTTGGCATATCGAATACATCATGGTTAGCTTGCCAGGCTCTGTCGTGTGGGCGAGATACTCTCGGTAGCTTGCCGGGCTCTCCGAGAGGGGCGGAGGAATCGAACTCGGGTCGGCCATGTTGGCTGCGTGCAAGGCAAACGCCCTACCGCTGTGCTATCGCTCCAGCCCAGTCTTTAAGAAACATTTTATCATCAGGCTGATTTGAATTCCCAGTACCAAAATGGCCCATTCAAGCTCCACCAGGGATAACTCCTAAGCACAAAGCCAAGATAACCCTTGTGAAAACACTGGGTGTGACCCCAAAAGCTCCCAGACACAGAAAAAAACAACTTTCATCATTAAGACCTGGGGAGATAGCTCAGAAGCCTGTAGCACATGCTTTGCATGGAGCCAGATTTTATCCCCAGTGCCACATGGTTTACCCAGCACTGCTAGGCACAACAACACTCCCCACCCTCCACCCTCCAGCACCGAGTTGGGAATAGCCTCCAACCAGTCCCCAATGAGGCCCCAAAACAGCCACAAAATGTCAAATAAATTGCCATCAAGTGATGGTCATAGCAGGAAGAGACTCATATTAGGAGCACTGTGTAATATAGGCGTTATTTGTGTCATCTTGTCCTTAAGGCTCTGCTGAAAATGAGGAGAAATCAGAAGTTCAAGCTATCATTGACTCCACCCCTGAGTTGGACATGGACAAAGATCTCAGTGGATATAAAGGCTCAAGGTACTATAAACACCAGATTCAGATTAAAAAAGTAATAATAATTCTACCCTTTTCCTCTCCTCCAGAAGTCTAGTAGTGTTCTCCTCCCTGCCACTCTACCAGACACATGTATTCAGGTGTCTGGCTGAAAAAATGTTGGTATTCTGGGTTTTGTTTTGAAACTGGACATGGTATGTGACTGTTGAATACTTTGTGAAAGGTTACCGTAGAGGTTAGGAACATATGGGAAGATTGGGAAGTGGAGATCACCAAGAGATGCCCCATGCTTTCTGACATGTGAGGAAAAACCAAGGCTGGGGTGGTACGAATAAAAGTGTGAGCAAACTTGGTTCAGATCAGGAAGAAGAGAAGGCACTCTTTTCAGAATTATGATGACCTCATTATTGGGAGAAGTTGGTGGTTTTTTAGTGACATGTTAGTCGAAATTTTAGTGAAATTTTAGTAAAACATAAAGGGTATGTTTAGTGCAGCCCTGGACATGCCTCACCCACCTCCTCAAAAGCCCTTGAGGTCCCTGGGGTCCTGAGTCGTCCCGTCAGTGAGGGAACAGCCCAAGCAGCAGCAAGTCCTCAGGCTCTTGCTTCGAACATCAGCTGTGTTGGCTGGCAGGCACAGAGGGCTGATCTGGGCCGCCTCTGCCCTGCTCAGGCCGGATTCTGGAGTGGGGGAGATGGGAGGATTTGGTTTTGGGGGTCTTACCTGGTTTGGGGTGGGGGGAACCATGTGGTGTCAGGAATAAAGCCCAGGACCTCATATATACAAGGACATCTTTCTACCATGGAATTACATGCTCTGCCCTCTCCTGGCAAATTCTTTAACCTCCTTCATTTCTTCATTTGTAAAATTGAGATAATAGCACCTGCTTTGCAGACTAAGGTGAGGATTCAGCCAAGTCATCTATGTAAAATTGATCAGTGCCTGATATGCAAAGCAGAGGCATGTTCCCTGCTCTTTTCTGTTTTCTAGGATCTTCCTGCACTTTGTTTCCTTCACTAGTCCTGTGTGAACTTCAGTGAGAATGTCCTGGGAAACTTGAGAGATCTTTTTTGAATTACATGTTCACAGCCTCTTGGCTATGCATTTTGCACTTTTGAAAATAGTGTCATATATGCTGATTCTGTTGTTTCTGTCCGTAGTACTCCCACCAAAGGCATAGAGAACAAAGCTTTCGACCGCAACACAGAATCTCTCTTTGAAGAACTGTCTTCAGCTGGCTCAGGCCTAATTGGAGATGTGGATGAAGGAGCAGATTTATTAGGTATGATAGCTTATTCAAGGAATCGATGGCTGAATTGAAAAGTCAATTATAACATTTTATGTAATTGAAAATTTCCCTAAAATATCCTTAACTGCCTGCTCAGTGGGATGGTTATTGTGCTTTAAGTAAGTGGAACTTTGGATTATAAAACTTTTAAAGGGGATGGTTTTTGCATACAGATTTTTCCAAAATTAAATTGCATTTGAATTTTATTTTAAACTTATATAACACATTGTATTGAACAGTTTTATACTATCAGGTTAGTATTATGTATAAGGAACACACTGATACGTATATTTGTTAGCCTTACATAAGAAATTGTGACACTTTATTTATTTCAGCTTTTAAGATTGATGCTTTAAGAAACTGCCCAATAAAATTGAAGAGTAAAATGCAAAAATATATTTAGGAGAAAATTGTAATGTTTATGTATGATAAAACCCACATATGTATTTTTTTAAGTTTGAAGGAATGCATTGAATTGTGTAATCATCACCAGAATCAACATAGATCAACCCTCAACCCCCCACCGACTTCATCATGCTATCCTTTTGTGTTCTTTCTTACTTTACTTTTTTGGTTTTATTTATTTATTGTACTTTTATTTAATCAGAATTAAAGGTTTTTTGTTTGTTTCTTTCTTTCTTTCTTAAGGCTTTTATTGACGTTTGTCAGACCGGGCATGTAATAGTGTTAAGTTTATGGTTTTGACGTAGCAGAGTAGGGTTAAGTTTATGGTATTGATGTCCACTGCTTTCTCCCCGCTGCATACCACAGGGCCCGGAACCCCCACCCGGGTCCCCCTTTTGACTCACAGTCCATCTTAATCCAAAGGAAGCACTTTGTACTCTTTCTGTCTCAGAATGCAGTGTTCAGTCCTGTGATTTTTTTGAGACTGTTAGCCTCAGGCTCTTTGGTTTGATTTTCGTTTTGGACCACACCTAGTGGGGGGTTGTCACTCCTGGCACTTGTCACAGTGTTTGGGGGACCCCTTGTTGCCAGGGATAGAACCCAGGCCTCCTGCACACAAAGGATGGACCCAGCCTATGAGCAGTCTGTTCAGTTCCTGACCTTTAAAAAAATTTAATTACTTTTATAATGCCTGAGGTTAAACTCAGGACCTCATACATGCAAGGCAAGTGCTTTTTCACTGAGGTATGTCTCCTGGCAGAGACTTTTTTAGGGGGTAATGAAGGGGGGGGCAATACCTGTTGGTGCTCAGAGCTTATTGCTGGCTCTGTGCTCAGAGATCACTCCTCTCTGTCCTCAGGGGACCATATGTGGGATTGAACCTGGATTGGCCACATATAAGGCAAACCCTACCCGCTGTACTACCTCTCTGGCCTAGGCTTCTCTTTTATAAAGATAATTACTGAGAGAATTACTGAGCCATGTGGTCCTCACAGTATGGGCCTGAAAGCCTGTGTTCAACTCAGACAGCTGTTTACAAGCACCAGAACCATAACCAGTGTTGCTCCAGGCTCACAGAAACCACACCCCAGTGGTGCGTGGGGGGGTCTGTGCAGGGACGGGGGTATCAGATCCAGGACTTCGGTCATGCTTGGCGTGTGCTCTCACTTGAGTGTCTTCCTGTAACTGTGATCTTTGAAGTCAGTGTTTCTGAAAGCTTGCATTTATTAATTCAGAAAATTAGGTATAATAGATTAGAGACGAATTTCTGATATTCTGATCTCCTTTCCACTTTGAAAATAATAGGCTGTAAATTACTATCTTCCCTTTTACACCATGGTGTGGGTTTATTTTTAGAATGTTCCAGATTAGAAGGTTTATTGCCTTAATTCTTAGTAAAAGATGGTGAGATTTCTAAGGCAAATATTTATTTCTTGGTTTCTCTTCTGTATAATTTAGTGTATATATAATTTGTTTGTTTGTTTGTTTCTTAAGGCGTTTATTGGCCTTTTTCAGACCAGGCATGTAACCATGTTAAGTTTATGGTTTCAACATGACACTGTAGTATTAAGTTTATGGTATTGATATCCACTGCTTTCTCCCCTCTCCATATTCAATATGCCAAAACAGTAACAATAACGGGTCTCATTCCCCTAACCCTGAAAGAGTCTCCAGTACAGCAGCATTGGGAGAGATGAGGAAGGAGAGGCCGCTAAAATCTCAGGCTGGGACAAATGGAGTAAATCAGCGAACAACAGTGATCCAGTGATAATTTAGTGATAGGAACTGAGATGTAATACTGAAACTGTCTAGCTTTGTTACACTATGCTAACAAATTCTTCCTCCACATTTCTTAATTGGCCTTAGGTTGATAAATAATAGACCATTTCTATAACTCAATGTTTCTCAGTTACTGTGTTAGTCTTTATTCGAAGATAAATGTTTTTATGATTGTTACACATACAATCGTACTTTTTTTTTCTGGGTTTTTTTTTTTCTTCTCTTATTTTGGGGCCCCACCCAGCTCTGTCCTTTCCTGGGCAGGGATTGCAGGGGCCTGTGATATCCCGGATCCATCCCAGGCCCCCCGCATGCAAAAAGCATTCACTTGGTAGTTTGAGCTGTCTCTGCCCCCCCCCCCCCCGCTTTTTTTTTATCTGATTTTAATTAGATAATTTTAATTCAAAAAAGACTGACCTTGGGGGCTTGAGCGATAGCACAGCGGGTAGGGCATTTGCCTAGCATGCAGCCGACCCTATTCGATTCCCAGCATCCCATATGGTCCCCCAAGCACCACCAGGAGTTATTCCTGAGGGCAGAGCCAGGAGTAACCCCTGTGCATCACTGGGCGTGACCCAAAAAGAAAAAAAAAAAGATTGACCTCCACCAGTTTGCCCTTTGTCTTTGTACTGTGTCTCCTGTTTTGATTTTCTTATTCTTATTGACTGTTTTCTTTATATAATTTAGTGACTTGTCCCCATGGTTCTAGATCTTGGAAATCATATTGTATTCAGATATTGAATTTCCTTTTGATTTATTTCTGTTTTCACCTTTATTGTCTTTAATCACTTCTTATCATTTAAAGGTAATTTAAAAGGAAAAATACTGGACCTGGAGCTAGTGTAGTAAGTGCCTAGTGTGTGCGGCCTTTTGAGTCACATACTTAGCACCATTGCAGCCCTCTGCCCGCCTACTCCCAGATATAATCAGGGTGACCCTCAAGTCCTGCTAGGATGTTCTGTGGGTACCTCTGGGCCTGAGCCCTGTGTCTTCAGCATACAAACTACCTGGCTGAGCATCTCCTGGAGTCGCGCCCCCCCCCCCCAGTCCTAAAAGTGAAAATAAACATCCTGCCCGCCTCTTTCCCTGAATCTGTCCCACCCTGTCCTTCCACTGCACTCATTTTCAGTCACACCATTACGTAGCTCTCACCTGGCTGTGCCCAGCGATCACTCTGATACTGTGCAAAAGGGACTGTACGCAGTGTTGGGATTCAAACCTGGATCAGCTTCTTGCAAGCACCTTAGCGGCTCTGTGCTACCCGTCCAGCCCCTGTGCAGCAATATCGATGATGTGGCTGTGATGTCCCTGGCACTTTCCTAGTTGTTTATGGTATGTCAGTGATTAAAAACAGATTTCTTTGGGACAGTTTTTTCCTGGCCCCTCTACTGTTCCTCATCCCACTGATGTCTTGGCATTGTTGCTCATACTTACCTAGCCTGAAACAAGCATTATTTTTTCTTTCTTGGGGCTACACCCAGCAGTGCTCAAGGCTTATTCCTGGCTATACACTCAGGGACCACTTCTGGAGGGTTCGGGGGAATCTTTGGGGTACTGGGGATCAAATCTGGGTGGGCCACATGCACCGCAGCACCCTACCTGCTATATTATCACTCTGATTCCTCAGATCTTTCCTTCTTACCTCACTTGGCACATCCTTCTCTGGGAATTATATCCTGATCTCCTAGTTAAAGCTTTGTTGTCCTTCAAGCCTGTTTCCATGGTACTGTGTTCATTTATTATGCTTCTCTTCCTACTACACTGTATTCTTCTTGTTGTTTGGTTTTGGGGGCAACACCCAGATGTGCCCAGGGCTTACTCCTGACTTTTCTCAGGCAGAGCTTGGGGAACTGTATGCAGTGTTGGGGTTCAAACCCAGGTCAACAGCATGTAAGGCATGTGCCTTACCAATGTACTCTCTCTCGGCCCTCCGGTTTTTTGTTTTTCCTTTTTTTTTTTTTTTTAATAAACCTGGGTAGACTAAACAGTGTAGCCAAATCAGCTTTCTTGTATTTACAGGTGCGTTTTTGAGCATGTAACACAGCAACAAAGTGACTGTGTTGCTAATTAGTTCTAGCAGTTTTGTTCCATCTCTGAATCGGTGATACTTCACCTTTTGTAGTTAAAACTCTTTACATGAGAATTTGTAAGAGAGCAGTGTACATTTGGAAAAATGGAGTCCTAACATAGTTTAAATAGAGAACTAGATTAAAATGTGCAAGTTTCCCAGGAATTAACAGATAATTCAAAAACCTATCTATAGACATAGCTTTATACTAAACTTGAAATGAGAATTTTATAATATTAGAGACAGGCTGCTAGGTTTTTGGTTATAAGGGGTATGGGTGCTAACAAAGTGTGTTTAGTTGAAGTCTTGGATAAAAATGGGACCACCTCAAGTTGATAAAAATGGGACCACCTCACGTTAAATTTTTCTTTTACTTATGAGTTAGTTGTATTGATTCATTTTAAAGTGAAAATTTTTAGACGATTCTATTATTTATAAATTAAATTCATACATTAATGTTTTAAGACATTTTATGGGGAATGTGTACCCTTTACAAACTACATTATAGAATTCCTTATAATGCATATTTCAAAGTATTTTTTATTTATAATATTTATACCTTATTGTATTTTATTAATTCTCTACATATTTTTAGTTTTTGGTCTCCTCATTTTGAAAAAAATGAGTGTAGATTTTGCATTATAAAAACAGTCTAATTGAGATTCTCATTCATTTTTCTCTTGGGCTGCTCACCCAGGGGAATATTCTGGTGTGTATGCTTTTAAATACTTAAATATTATGGCTTTTAAGTCTAGGTGTTCTTGACTGCTCTGCTCACATTTAATGCTTTTTTTATATATTTTTTTCTGCTCAGCTATTTTTATTTTGTCCTGTATGTTTTCAGCTTTATGCTTATCTTTCTATGTGCTTAAGAGTTTATGGCATATAAGTTCTATAAAACAATCTAACCCTATTTTTTTTCTGATTCTGATTCTTTATTGAACATTTAACGTTAATTTAAAATTAGAATTTAGAAACTTCATTTATCACTATTCTTAGAATTGTATGGATAGATGATTAATTTTTTTCTGATACCTAATTCTTCATATTCAAAGTACCCTGATGGTTGAAAATATTTGAGATAATTATACTCTGAGTTCATATGTGAACATTGAACTTTTAGTCTAGGTTGGTTGTTACAGGTTACTTTAAATTCATTTAGACTATTACTTTTTTAATGAAAGGAACGTGTTAACTGCTTTGTTCATTGTAATTTTCTTTAGAAATATTTTCTTCCCGTTTAGTTGTCTTATGAGTCTTTGTCTGTTACATGTGAATTTTCAGCATTCTTTTTTTTTTTTGGTAACTTTTTGAAATATGTTCCTTAGTGTGTTTTTCATTTCTTTAGGCTTTCCCCCTCTAAGTTGAATATTAAATATTTTTCTCTCTAAAGATCTCTAGATTGGTTACATTGACTACTCTACCTAACTTACAGTACTCAAATGTTATCTATAAAGAGACAACTGGACCATATCATTTCATAGGTGGTATTTTGAAGGAAACTTACGTTTTTGACCTGTGGGGGGTTTTTGGTCTGTTTTTTGAACCACACCGGCAATGCTCAGAGGTTATTCCTGGCTTTGCACTCATTACTCCTGTTGGTGTTTGAAAAATCATATGGATGCTGGGGATTGAAAATGGGTCTGAGTTGGCCACATGCAAGGCTAGCTCCCTATACTCACTGTACTATCTCTCTAGCCCCTAGTTTGGGATTTTTAAAGAAAGTAATTTTGTTGTTGTTGTTGTTCAGGAGCACACCTGGCTGTACTCAGGGTTTACTCCTGGCTCTGTGCTCAGGGATCACTCCTGGCCAACTGGGGGAACCATCTGTGTTGCCAGTGATGAAACCCGGGTTGGCCATGTGCATGGCAAAGCCCTACTTGCTATCCTATTTCTCTGGCTCCCAAGAAAGTAATTTTTAAATTTTTTGTTGAAGCTACACCTGGTGGTGCTCAGAAGCCATGGGGTGCCAGGGATCAAGCCCAGGTATGCAAAACATGTGCTCTAAAACTTGAACCCCATTCCCAGCCCCTGATTTTGGATTCTCAGTTTGGATTGGATTTTATAGTCACCTTAATTAGGAGAAAGAGTTGGTAAAAATTGCATGTGTATTAGGGTTGCAGGACTTCCAAGCATTGTTTATAAGGACCCAGGGGGCACTCCTGGCCAGCTGACCAAGTAGTTTGGCGCTGCTCCAGCCCTGGAGTGTTCAAGACCACCAGGACCAGGACCCCTGCAGTACCCAGGGCCTCCCAGATGCTGGTGACTCTAGAGTGCTGAGGATTTGATCTAGACAGGGTGCCTACAAAAATTTGTAAGTCTACAACTGTACCTCATGGTGTTTTCAGTAATAAAAATTAAAAAAAAAAATAGAGTGCCTAACCTGTACCCCAACCACTGTACTCTCAGCCACATTAGTAAAATATTTTAAAGGCTAACATATTAGAAAAAAATCCTAATTGAGGAAAATCATGTTTTTGTCTTTTGCACATCATTTTGCATTCAATCAACATTGTGATCCCAGTTGTTTTCCATATCATGCATAAAAAGTTTACAGATTAATCTACTTTCATGCTGTTTCTTACATAAAACATTTCTTGTTCTTTGTTTTTGCTTTACATGGAATGCATGGGCTTTAAGACCATAATTTCTTTGGTAAGGTTTCATCTGCATTGGGTCTGTCTTTATTTGGCCTTGTTTCTGCCTGTTTTCTATTAATATGTAATTTTTAGGCAAAAGCCATGTCTACAATAGCAGTTGTGGTTTGTAAACAATATCTGATCTATATTAATGAGTCTTTTATTCCCCTTAATGCTATGTTTTAGAATATTTGACAGGAAAATTTTAATCCTCTTGAAATATTATAGACTAATATTAGACTAAAATATATAGACTAAAAGTCATAAATAAATTGCCCAAAAAAATCTTTAATTTTGGTTTATGTTGGATAATTTTTTATAATGCTGTAAAAATTATATACCCATACAGGTATTTCAAGTGAAATTAAAGACAAAATAGGACTGCATAAAGGACAGATAAAATTTATAAAATAATGTTGTATGGCTAGAGCTTATTATAAGCTTAAATATTTTTGATGTATTTTCAGGGTGTTTTTTTTCCTTTTTGTTTTGTTAGGAATGGGTCGTGAAGTTGAAAATCTTATATTAGAAAATACACAACTGTTGGAAACCAAGTAAGTATATACAGACTTTGAATAAGGAACAAAAGATACTGAATTTTCTTCTTAACCAAGGCAGTGATATTGTTTCAGCCTAATACAATATTACTTCCCTGTCTCCTTCCCTTCTCTGCGTTCTGTGTACACGCACACATGAATCCATGGATGCAAATAGGTAATGGTACCTAATTCCATTGCTGGAGATAGTTCCCTGTTACCGTATTTTACAAAAATGAGTTTTCATCTTTTGTATACGTCCATAGTCCTGCTTTCCCTTTAAATCTCTCCCTTGAAAATCGCAGCTTTTCTTGCTTCCAGCCCTGGGAGTCACGTGTGATTAGTGCACAGCTGTTTCGATCTGACTCCAGCTTGCCTCCTGAGAGCTTTCTCCTTCTGACTCTCAGGTGTGATTAGGGGGGGCCTAGACCCTCAAACACCTCGGTGTCTTGTTCAGTGAGAACAGGTCCTGAGTCCCGTGGAAAAGCAGGACGGGTGCTTTTGTCAGTTTTCTGCCACTACAACTTCAGAACATCTAGGCATCAACAGTACAAAACGCAGCAACAATTTTTTGTGTGTGTGTTTCTTTTTTTTTTATTATTAGTGAAACACCATGAGGTACAGTTGTAGATTTACAATTTTTTTGTGCTTGGGTTTTGATTATACAATGATCAGATACCCTTCCCTCCACCAGTGCCCATTTTCCACCACCATGGATAATATCCCCCCCACCCCCATCCCCCCATCCCCCCCTGCCTCTGTGGCAGGGCAATCCCCTGTGTTCTCTCTCTCCTTTTGGGTGTTGTGGTCTGCAAAAGAGGCATTGAGTGGCAAACATGTTCAGTCCATAGCCTACTTTCGACATGCATCTCCCCTCCTGGGAGGATCCTCCAAACACCCTTTATTTGGTGCTCCCTTCTCTATCTGAGCTGCCCTTTCTTCTATAATGCCCGACTGGCCACTAAGCTATGGAGTAATCCTCCTGGTGCTGATCTCAGCTATTCTTGGGTATTAATCTCATATTTTGTTACTTTATATCCCCCAGATGAATGCAATCTTTCTATGTCTATCCCTCTCTTTCTGACTCATTTCGCTTAGCATGATACTTTCCATGTTGTACCACTTGTATGTAAATTTCATGACTACATCTTTTCTAACAGCTACATAGTACTCCATTGTGTAGATGTACCAAAGTTTCTTTAACCAGTCATCTGTTCTTGGGCATTCAGGTTTCTTCCAGTTTCTGGCTATTGTAAAGAGTGCTGCAATGAACAAACAAGTGCAGATGTCACTTCGACTATACATTTTTGCCTCTCTGGGATATATTCCCAGGAGTGGTATTGCTGGGTCAAATGGGAGCTCAATTTCTAATTTTTTGAGAATCGTCCATACTGTTTTCCAGAAGGGCTGAACCAGTCGACATTCCCACCAACAGTGAAGGAGTGTCCCTTTCTCGCCACATCCGCGCCAGCATCGGTTGCTTTTATTCTTTTGAATGTGGGCCAGTCTCTGAGGTGTGAGATGGTATCTCATTGTGGTTTTGATCTGCATCTCCCTGATGATTAATGATGTAGAGCATTTTCTCATGTGCTTTTTTGCCATTCGGATTTCTTCTTTGAGAAAGTTTCTGTTCATTTCATTGCCCCATTTTTGGATGGGGTTGGATGTTTTTTTTCTTGTGGAGTTTAACCAGTATTTTGTATATCCTCGATATCAACCCTTTGTCAGATGTGTATTCGGCGAATATCCTTTTCCATTCTGTAGACTGTCTTTGTATTTTGGTTACTGTTTCTTTGGAGGTGCAGAAGCTTCTTAGTTTAAGATAGTCCCATTTATCTATCTCTGTTTTCACTTGCTCGGCCAGTGGCGTGGCATCGTTGAAGATACCATTAGCTTCAATGTCATGGAGGGTTTTGCCAACTTTGTCTTCAATGTACCTTATGGTTTCTGGTCTGATGTTGAGGTCTTTAATCCATTTTGATCTTACTTTTGTACATGGTGTTAGGCAGAGTTCTGAGCCCATTTTTTTGCATGTAGCCGTCCATGCAGCAACAATTATTGAAAGCATCCAGATCTTAAATTTTCCAGTTTAGATTTTTTTTTCTCATTCCTTATTAAAAGTAACTTCAAGGAGTACTTTTACTGTATGATCAGATACGATCTTTTCAAAATTCATTGACAACAGTAGGCCTTTGCGGTCACCCTCTTTTTTCCCCCTTTGGTTTTTGGGCCACTCCTGACATTGCTCATTTAGTCCCGGTGGTATTGGGGTGGGGTGATCTATATAGGATTCTAGGGATTAAATCCAGGCCGGCCACATGCAAGGCAAATACCCTACCCGCTGTACTATCGCCCTGGTCCCGGCTCTCTTTTTCTCTTTTTAAAAGTCATTGTGGGGACCTCACACAACAGTGCTTGGACCTCATGGTACTTGCGGGGCCGGCAGAGTGGCCTTACCCAGTGGTGTGGGTGGGAATGGAGAGGATTATATGTTGCTAGGGATTGTTGCAAGGGCCTTGTACGTACAGGGAAAAAGTTGGCCCTGGGTTCTGTTACTTTCCTGGGTCCTATTTTATCTTTAAGTTGTCATTTTAATTATGGCACTTCTATTAGCTGGTCCTCTGCCTTTATCTGTTTTGTGCTTTGCCCTACAAGGAGGAAGAATAAAATCTCAGGTCATTGCTTTGTGATTTCTCTCTGATGATTTCTTTTCTGATGAGGGATATTCTGATTCCTCACCCTTTCCCTCTGTTGATGTTGTTTCAGTGTCTCAGGTTCACACACACTTGGTTGTAGTGTTCACATGTTTGGTTGTGGGTTTGTTTCTTTGGGGTTTTTAGGTCGACTGGCTAGTCCTGGCTCTGCACTCAGGGATCATTCCTAGCGGAGCTCAGGGAACCATATGGGGTCAAACCCTGGCTGGCCATGTGCAAGACAAGCGCCTACCTGCTGTACTATCTCTTCAGCTTGGAACTGCATACTTCAGTTACGTGTAACTTACCCCTGTCCTTGAACGTCTCTTAGCGCTCAGTGGAGCTCTGTTACCCTGTTTGAGTTGGAGTGTTTCCAGATATCTGGTTGTGGTATGGTTGGATATCCCTGGCTTGCTAGGCGGTGGTCACAGATGACAGAGCTGCTTGGGTTGTGCTTCGTCCATGTAGGCACCATTGGAAACCAAATTCATGATCCCATGCTTACAAGAGAGGGAGGCACTTCAAATGCTGAGTCATCTCCTGGCCCTGGTTTTTCTCTTAAAAACCCTTGTCTACAAATAGCATCAGCAGAAGCACTGTAACACATTCAGCTATTCAGTAATTGTATGGTTATTTTAGTCCACAAGAGAATAAATTGAAAGATGGAGAGAATATTTGTAATGAGGCACTGGAAATGCGTGTCTTTTTAGAAATGCCTTGAATGTTGTGAAGAATGATTTGATAGCCAAAGTAGATGAGCTGACCTGTGAGAAAGATGTGCTACAAGGGGAGTTGGAGGCTGTGAAACAAGCCAAACTGAAGCTCGAGGAGAAGAACAAAGAACTGGAGGAAGAGTTGAGGAAGTAAGTTTTCATGCTGTTGTTATCTGGCAGCTGTCTGTGCCAGCATGCCACAGAGGGTTATAGGTGCCACCCAGAGGCTGCTGCCTTGGGCTGCCTGGCCTGGGGTGCAAGGCCTTGTCATTCCCACTTCTCCGACCATACCTAGTTTACTTCACATTATCATTTTTGTGTCTATCATGATTTGGAGAAAAGGTCCATTTTGGTATTGCTGATTGGAAATTAGGAACATTATTTTCCTTTTCCCAGCCTAGTACTCATTTATTCCCTGAGAATATGCCTTTCTAACATAAATTTCCTTATGTGAAGGAAGTTGAATACTATTTGCAAAAAAAAAAAAATTATTTACTAAAAGTTAAACTGTTGTTGATATTCTCATTAGAATATGATGAACTGAATTAAAATATGTTAAATTTTTTTCCTCACTAGAGCTCGTGCAGAAGCTGAAGATGCAAGACAGAAAGCAAAAGATGAAGATGATGTATGTTTATGATTTTTTGCTTTTTTTTTCTCACTTTACCACATTTTCATATTTTTGAGAAAGCTTGTCAATTAAATATTGGATACAGCATTGTAAATATTTTCAGAAGGGGAAGATCTGTTTCTGGCTATGAGTAGGAGGAGTTATTTATTGGTCTCCCATGTGTGTAGAGGCTGAGTCTCTGGCTTCATGACATGTGTTTATTTGTGTGTGTGTGTGTGTGTGTGTGTGTGTGTATGTGGCTTTGTCTTAATCTGTTCAAGTGCAAGGACTTGAAGTGCATGTTCAAGTGCAAGGACCAGCTTGGGGCACATCTGGGGCACATTTAGGCTTTGTTGTTGCTCTTTTGCTTTACATTTTGACTTAGAAGTATGAATACTTGATAAAAATTGTTCATTAGTTTTAAACAAAGTGAGTAGACTAGAAACTTTGGTTCCAGAAATTAGCCCTTGTTCTTAACATACGGAAGTAATCAGAGTTAGTGATTTCTTTTCTTTTAGTGTTGCTATCATACTAGTAATTCTGTTGGTAGATTATTATCTGTAACAGATGTTTGCTGGTCAAGTATTAGATAAGGTCTATGAGTAGCTTGGACAAGAATGAGTATGTAGTTAGTCTCAGGGATTTTTTATTTTTCAAACTTATAGCTGATATATACAAAGATGTAAGGTAAAGATCATAATAAACTAATATGAACTTACCACCTAAGAAAAACATCAAACACTGAAACCTGTGCTCTTTTGTTCCCGGGTAATCCACTGGTCTATATTAATAATTTTTTACCTTTAAAAATAATTGTATCATACACTTGTGCATGTGTCACTACGAAATATGGTTTAATTTTCATTGTTTGAGCATTCCATACTGTATTTAGTCTTGGAGATTTGCTTCTTAGGTTTTAGTGTTTAAGGAAACAACTGTTTTGTAGTTTAGTGCTGTATCATTCATGTTCACTGTTATAATATTCCATTATGAGAATATATTATGATTTATTTCTCTTTGGGTTAATGAACATTTATTACTTACTACTATGAAAAACTTCTCTGCCCTTCTCATCGAGCAAATCGATGAACAATGGGAGGACAGTGCTACAGTGCTACTAATTCCTGAATGATTAGTACTTGACAAAAATATGAATTGAATATTACAGCAACAATTTTAGACAAAATTTTTAACAGTTAACTTCTTAAATTTTTGTTTAAAATTTGGACTATTTGTATTTTGTCAAGTGTCTGTATTTATAGTCAAGTTAAATTGTCTACTCTTTTTGGTCATAAGTAAATACTCAAACATACTGATTTTATTTTTATAACACTTTTCTTTAAACAAACCATTTAAATTAGAAATTAAGTAATATTTAAAAGTGTAAAGACTTTTCTTAAATCTGAGATATCACCAAAATATATCTAAACTCCCAGAATGATACAGTTCTTTTTTTCATTATAGAGTGATATTCCTACAGCCCAAAGAAAGCGGTTTACCAGAGTAGAAATGGCCCGAGTTCTGATGGAGAGAAACCAATATAAGGAGAGGCTGATGGAGCTTCAGGAAGCTGTGCGATGGACAGAGATGATTCGGTCAGTGTGAGAATCACTTCGGGGGTGTTTCTGCTGTTTCTGTTCATTTCTTGATTCAGAACTCAGGTGCTGCTTAGGGACATAAAACCCTTTGCTCTCTTAGCTGTGGGAGGTAAGGTAAAGGTAAAGGCCCTCCCGTTGATCGTCGATTTGCTCGAGCGGGCCCAGTAACATCTCCATTGGAGACTTTGTTGTTACTGTGTCTGGCATATCGAATACTCTCGGTAGCTTGCCGGGCTCTCCGAGAGGGGCGGAGGAATCGAACTCGGGTCGGCCATGTTGGCCGCTTGTAAGGCGAATGCCCTACCGCTGTGCTATCGCTCCAGCCCTGTGGGAGGATTTCTTAATAATACATTTGGGATTGGTGACAGAATATGATCAAAGTGGGTGCCTTCGGGGCCAGAGAGAACTCCTAGAGAATGTCCCAGGACCTCAAAGATGACTTAGGAATGGTAGATTTAGAAATTGGCCCTACTGTTGCAACAATGTCAGGAAAAGAAAATTTTACTTCTAACGCTACATAAGAGACCAAGTCCATTTTACTTAATTTCAGGTAATCATGCTTGACTTTCCCCTCTCTAAACTTCTCTCAGAGCATACCTTCCAAAGCCATCTTGGCCAGTTGGATCTCCTTTCACCCAATGCTGCCATCTGATGGCCACAGTGTCAGGAACAGGGTTGTTCTTTTTGTTTCCCAAGAGCTCATTGAGACTATGTTCATCGTGTGTAGTTTGGTTAGTCATATTTGGTTAGTTGTCTTCATCGTGTGTAGTTTGGTTAGTCATATCAGATTTACCAGTAATAGTTAACACTGACAATTTTTTCGTTTTGTTTTGTTTTGTTTGTGGGGTCAAGAGATAGTACAGGAGTTCAGGTATGTGCATTGTTCAGTGTCCCTCGTTTACTCTCTGGTCCCCCACGATCCACTGAGCATCACCAGGTGTGCCCCTGGCTTCCTGACAGCAGCACCAGGGTGGCTGGCTTACCCCTGTCAATGCAGGGATCAAGCTAAGTTGTGCTCTCAGGCTCTCTCATTGAACCACTGGCCTGCTTGGCCACTAATTGCAAGGAGTGGTCTCAGAGCCTCCAGAGCACAGGAAAAGTGCCCTCCCCCACCCTAAAAAAAGTTTATGAACATTCCTTTTTTGGGGAGGGGGTCACACCTGGTGATGCACAGGGGTTACTCCTGGCTCTTTACAGAGGAATTACTCCTGGCAGTGCTCAGGGAACCATATGGGATACTGGGAATCAAACCCGGTGCAAGACAAATGCCCTACCAGCTGTGTTATCACTCCAGCCCTGAACATTCCCTTTGTTGTTTTGTTTTTTTACCACACCCAGTAGTGCTTAGGGACTCTGATCTAGATCAGTGCTTGGGGGTTGCTCCTAGTGGTGCTCATGTGGTCCTGGGGATCAAACCTGGGCCGACTGCTTGCAGAGTTTGCTTACCCCATGTGTGCTCTCCCCAGCCTCTGGAATGATTATTCTTCTGAAATTGTTTTGACTATCAGTTGAATGTATCCACTTCTTTAATTATTTTTTCTTTTTGGGTCACACCCAGTGATGCTCAGGAGTTACTCCTGGCTCTGCACTCAGGAATTACTCCTGGCGGTGCTCGGGGACTGCACGGGATGCCGGGGATTGAATCCAGGTCAGCCACATGCAAGGCACTCTCCCCGCTGTACTATCACTCCAGACCCTGTAGTTAATTTTTTTGTTTTTGTTTTTGTTTTGTTTTGGGGTCACACCTGGTGATGCTCAGGGCTCTACACTCAGGAATTACTCCTGGTGGTGCTCAGGGGACTATATGGGATGCCAGGGATCGAACCCAGGTCAACCGCATGCAAGGCAGATGCTCTACACACTGTAATATTACTCTGGCCCCCCTTTAGTTAATTTTTAAGTGAAGGGAAAGTTTTTGTACTGGGAAAAAATACTCATTTCAAACAGGTTGCAGGCTTTCTCATGAGAGCTGAAAGATGAGATGGTTGAGATGAGACCTGTATGTCAAGGTGGAGATTGACAAGGATATAATTGCTGAACAGGAGAGTTGTGGTGCTTTTCGGTCATTTTTTGCTCTGTTTTGTTTGGGGCCACCGTCACTGGCTCTGTGCTCATGGTACTGTGTAGAGCTGGAGATTGAACTCAGCCCTCTGAGTGTTCTCTCCCCTCTTCAGGGACATATCAAAATACTTATAACTCAGGTATTTCTGCTGCCCATCCGGTACAGATAATTATATCTTCTTTCAGCAGACTGAGCTCTTTAAGTAGGTGGTGTTTTGTTTATCTCAGTTGTATCCCAGGCTTAGAAGAATGAATGACACAGATAATCAAAGTCATTGTTTTCTAAATTGAAGATAAACCGTGAGCTTCCTGGGTCACATATATTTCAGACAGAAAACTAGAACCCGAAATGCTGATAACCCAGAGTTGTTGTTTTTTCTTTTTCTTTCTCTTTCTGAACTCTTTTTTTTTTTCTTCAATTGTAGAGCATCAAGGGAAAATCCAGCCATGCAAGAAAAAAAAAGGTCAAGCATTTGGCAGTTGTGAGTATCTGAATGTATATGTGAAAACACAAAACAGCTTTTTAAGATTAGGTCAAAATTTCCAAAAATTTCGAGAAACTTTCTTTTGAAAATGTTAAGTATAATTGTTAAGCTTTTTTTTTTTTCCCTTTTTAATGTAGTATGCCAGATCGGTAAGCCTGTTTTTGAAGACAAAAAATAATGGCTGTCGTAAGCTGCATCATGTTAATTATGCATTTGGTGGAATACTCTACTAAATTAAATTAAATAATGGGGAATTAATCATAAAATTGATGATTACCTGGATCCTTTTTTAATAAATTACTGATTCACGGGTTGTGTGATTCTAAGAAACACTACAAAGATCTGAGATATGTAGTGTTTCAGGATTTGAGTACTGTGTGTGTGATTTGTATCTGAATTATGTTTGCGCCAGAAAGACTGCATTTTCTTTGCTTAAACTTACCCCTTTTTGGTGAATCTGCTATTTAATAGGAGAGTTGATTTTTTATTTTTTAAAGTAGATGTGAAAGATTATTTTAATTTTGCTAAATATGTAAGGTATGTGTTACTGTGGTAGTGTGCTTTCTTGTACTTTATTGTGATTCTTTGGAACTTGCATACTGAACATCTATTCATAGCCTTGCTGTTAACACTCATTCCAGCTAGCCTGAAGTTTACCTAAAAGAAACACAAGAACTTCCTCATTTTATTGTGGGAATTTCTTTTTTTTTTTTTCTTTTTGGGTCACACCCAGTGATGCACAGGGGTTACTCCTGGCTCATGCACTCAGGAATTACTCCTGGTGGTGCTGCGGGGACCATATGGGATGCTGGGGATCGAACTCAGGTTGGCCGCGTGCAAGGCAAATGCCCTCCCCGCTGTACTATTGCTCCGGCCCATTACTGTGGGAATTTCTGATTTAAGAACTTTTTGGAATGGCTTTGCTTGTCTGAGCAGTAGTTATTTTTCTCAGATGTCTGGTTTGGCTGTGAATTAGGGCAAAGACTGTGACAGCAAAATGAAATATTTTTGCCAATTTCTTACTTGTTGCCTTATAAGCACGATTTTGGAGTTTGTAGGAAATTATGGATTGTGCTTCTCAGTATGTGTGTCCTCTCGCCTCCACCCCAGCTACTCACACACATGTTCACACACACTTTTTTTTTTCTCTTTAGTTTCAGCAGACTCTTCAGCTCTTCAAGTAATACTGCTAAGAAGCCAGAACCCCCTGTTAATCTGAAGTATAACGCACCCACCTCTCATGTTACTCCTTCTGTGAAGAAAAGAAGCAGCACCTTATCTCAGCTCCCTGGAGATAAATCCAAAGCTTTTGATTTCCTTAGTGAAGAGTAAGTATTTACCAGACTAGTAATTGTGCCCTAATTAAGTTAATAGGTCGGAATATCCTAGTCCCTGAACAGATCGGTGATAAGGACTCATCCATAAAGAAACGATTTTTTGTCTGTCTTTTTAGTAAATTATTTGCCTTTAGTGAAAATGGAAATTTACTACAATGTTTGTAAAGTAATTTTTCCCCCCTGAATTCAGTTTAAATGAATTCAGAGCCTTAACGCATGTGAGGCTTGTGCAGGATTACTGAGCCACATTCCCAGTCTGAAAAATAGTTTTTGCAGCGTCTCATTTTTGTTGGTGTGGAAAAGATCATTACCAATAATGGAAGCACCGAGACCTGTGTAAGCCTAATGTTTGAACAGAAAGCGTCTGAGGCGTAGTTTCCCCATACTGATTACTGTTCATTCAGGACGTGATCCTGTTCTAGTTAGCCTCTCAGAGCCTGTTTTTGTTGTTTGGTTTTTTCTTTTTTTCTCACTTAGATGTTAGTATTGAATTGTATCTGTAAAGCAAGTCACCTCACAAAAATGTGAATGGCCCCAAAAAATACAAACTATTTTCATAATCTGTTTCATAGTGGTTTTTGGATTTTTTTGTTTGTTTTTGGGCTACTTCCAGCAATGCTCAGGGCTTACAGCTAGCTCTACATTCAGGAGTCACTCCTGGCTGAGCTCGGAGACCGTATCGGGTACTGGGGATTGAACCCGGGTCTGCTGCATGCAAGGCAAGAGCCTATTATGGGTTGGGCCCCCACATTTTTGTTATTTTTGAAACAAGTTAATGGGATCCAATAGTCAACCTATAATGTTTTCCTAAGAAGTTACTGTGTTTCACTAAAAGTGACTTAAATCATTTATAGCATGTTCTCTTGCTTAAGAAAATTCTTAGTGAATATTTAATGAACAAAATAACAACCAAAAATATTTTAATTTTTCCTTTTATTTGGTCAAAATATGGAACTTAATGGAAATTTTATTAAGAATGATTGAACAAAATGTAACAGACTGCGTGCTTTCCTGTTAAGCTTGAACACAGTCTACACTACACAGCTTTAATAAACCAGCTTTAGTAAAGTAGGTTGTAGTCTGAATAATCTGAAGATGATTTTGTTATTGGTACTTTTTGCTATTTTAGCAGGAGAGGGGAGAGAGAGTTGTTGATAAATTCATTTAATTTAAAAGGAGAAATGTCTTTCCCTTTTAGAACTGAAGCTAGTTTAGCTTCACGCAGAGAACAAAAGAGAGAACAGTATCGCCAAGTAAAGGCACATGTTCAGAAGGAAGATGGTAGAGTTCAGGCTTTCGGCTGGAGTCTGCCTCAGAAGTATAAACAGGTAAAATGCGAACATGCCGAGGACATCTGGTAGGAAGTTAGGGGACAGGCCTGTGCCAGGTCATGAAGGAACCAGAGCGCACATTTCATATCCACTTGTCTCAAGGGTTTGGGTCACATTTAGGGAGGAATTGAGACGGGTGACTTTAATTTTCAGGTGATCTTCTAGAACTTAGAGTTCAGAAAGAATGTCTCTGTACATGGAGCTTGAGATTCTGCTTTGGTGTTCAATATTTCATAATTTTAAAAAATAACATCACAGGGGAGGATGGGGGAAAAATAGCATCTGTTGTTTGAAGTTTTCAGACTGTTGGCTTAAAATTTACTTTAGGTTTTCAGGAGCCCTAACTGTGTATTCCATATTCCCAACTCCAAAAGGCTCAGTTAATACATCTGTACATCTCTCTGTGTCCCTGACCACCTCACCCCACGTACACATTTCAAGAAAGGGGGAACAGAATAAACCAAGTGAGTTAGTGTATCTCCTTTGAACACCAGTAGCATCTTGTTTATTTTTAAAAATTGATGTCTGATGCCATCTGCTAATTTTTTTTAAAATAAGAGTCACAAAATTACCTTGAATTTTAATTCATGGAATAAATAGTAGTGCTTCTCCACGTCCCATTGTTTCTGTAGGCTCATTTTTGCTGAGGGTTTCTAATGTTCTTTTTCCCACCTCTTCTCACCCATCCCCAACCCCCTGGCACCAATTATTAGGTAACCAATGGTCAAGGAGAAAATAAAATGAAAAATTTACCTGTGCCTGTCTATCTCAGACCTCTAGATGAGAAAGATACATCGATGAAGGTAAGTTCATTTTGAAGTTAATGGAGATGTTTCTTAAGCTTTGGGTATGTTTTTTCCGTAAAGCCAAAGAAAGTTCTGCCGGTGAGATTATTGTTCATTTCGTAATTTTAGACTAGGATACTCTGAATATTGAAGACATCTATAGTCATTAGATTTTTAAAAAATAAAATGTGGAAATTCTGGTTTTAGAGTAAAATAATTTAATGTCCCCCAACTCTCCTTTTTTTTCCTCTTACCCCCCCAAAGCTGTGGTGTGCTGTTGGAGTCAATTTATCCGGTGGGAAGACCAGAGATGGCGGCTCTGTTGTTGGTGCAAGTGTGTTTTACAAGGATGTTTCTGGTCTGGATACAGAAGGCAGTGAACAGAGAAGTGCATCGCAGAGCAGTTTAGATAAGTTAGATCAGGAGCTGAAGGTAATCATGCACATTTGCCGTCTTCCCTCCCTCTCTTTTTTCTTTTCTCGGGACCCCCTGGTTTCTTGGAGACCATTAGTTTGCTGATAGGTCAGAAACTTACTCTAGGATTCAGCACATCACTGAGGACTGTTGGTACCCATGGGTAAAGTAAAAGTAAAGTAAAGGCCCTCCCGTTGATCATTGATTTGCTCGAGCGGGCCCAGTAACATCTCCATTGGAGACTTTGTTGTTACTGTGTTTGGCATATCAAATACTCTCGGTAGCTTGCCAGGCTCTCCGAGAGGGGCGGAGGAATCGAACTCGGGTCGGCCGTGTTGGCCGCTTGTAAGGCGAACGCCCTACCCACTGTGCTATCGCTCCAGCCCAGTACCCATGGGTGTTCCAGGTATACAGTTGAATTGGGCGTGCCTGAGTTTACCTTGCATGCAGCTGACTGGGTTCCATCCCTGGCACCACATATGGTTCCCTCAGCTCCACCAGAAGGGACCCCCGAGCACAGAACCAGGAGTAAGTCCTGAACACAGCCGGGTGTGCCTCACCCCCAAATGCATGCACTTTTTTCTCAACCGTCACAATCAAGATAGGGAACTCTGTTTTGGTTTCTCCTTTCTGAGCCACCGTGGCAGTGCTTAGGGGCTGCTTACTGCTTGATACTGGGGATTCACCCCCAGTGAGTCTCAGGGGACCATATGGTCCATCCCAGGGATTAAACCCAGGGATCACCATGAAAAGTATATGCTCCTCCCTTTGAACTATCTCAATGACTTCCCCTGTAGATCATTTTTTATGACTGATCGGCTTCAAGTGCTAATTTTTTTCAGTCTACTAATTAATCTTATTAGGCATTTGTATTTGTATTACAAACTGTATTATTTAAACCAAATGATTTGGACCTACGTTTGAAATAGTATTGCCCTTTACTGCAATAGCACCGCTTATGAACACTTACACATATTACTTACGATATTTTCTTTGCTTTGTTTCTATAGGAGCAGCAGAAAGAATTAAAGAATCAGGAAGAATTATCCAGTTTAGTCTGGATCTGTACCAGTACTCACTCAGCTACAAAAGTGATAATTATTGATGCTGTTCAGCCAGGCAACATCCTTGACAGTTTCACTGTTTGCAACTCTCACGTTCTTTGTATAGCAAGCGTGCCAGGTAAGAGTGAGCCATGCCTTTCTCCTCCACCATCCATACCTCCTTCTGGATAAGACCTGATTTGATTACTGGAGATAAAATTAATCAGTACTATCTTGCTGTTCTCAGAAAGAGCCTGAAAAGTTAATTAAACAAGGTATTTTCAAATAACATGAAGAAAATAAAACAGTGGTTAAAAAATGAGAAGATGATAGGAAAGGGAGGGCAAGATGCTTTTTATTTTTAGAGTGATTCAAAGTAAGAGACGGGGTAGAGGGCAGAGATAGTAGAGCGGGTACAGCACTTGCCTTACTCATGTTGACCCAGGTTCAACATGGTCCCTCAAGCACCGCCAGCAGTAATTCCTGAGGGCAGAGCCGGGAGTAACCCCTGAGCATTGCTGGGTATGACACACAAAAGTAAATAAGTAAGGGGAGTGGCAGTTGGGCCAGAGAGATAGAACAGTGGGTAGCGAGCTTGCCTAGCATGTAGCTGCCCCAGGTTTGAACCCTGCTACTTCATATGGTTCCCCAGGCCTGCCAGGATCTCTGAGCACAGAGCCAGGAGTAAGTCTGGAACACCACCAGGTGTGGCCCAACCCTCCCCTTTCCCCAAAAAAAAAAAAAAAAAAAGCGATGATCTAAAGTTCTGGATTAAATGTGACATAATATTAAATCACCAGTTTATAAATTTATAAATCAGAGGTTTGTGGTATACTCACATAATGGGATATTGTTAAAAATTAAATTCTGATACCTGCTACAACATGGATTAACCTTGGAAACATGTTAACTCATGAATGCAGACACAAAGGACAAATGCTGTGCGATTTATATGTACTGTTTAGCCTAGGCTCATTGATAAAGACAGAGAAGGCAGAGTGTGCCAGGGCTCAAGAATAGGAAGCGGGATTTGTTCTGGGGTGGGTCCAGACTTTTTCTGAGGGGTTAGAAAGGTCTTGGGCATAGATGTGATTACTGCACAGCATTGTCGATGTAATTAAAGCCATGGGATTGTACAAATGATCGAAGTGTAAACATTTTGTTACCTATATATTTTACGATAATTTTAATATGGTATGGTTAAAAATATTTTAAGTAAAATATGAAGAGATTTATATTTACCTTGCAAATACAAAGTTTTTTAAGTTCTTCTAAGCTTAGTTCCCTGTATACATAGAGAGTAGTTTTTTTGTTTTTGTTTCCTGGGCCATACACCTGGCAATGCTCAGGGCTTACTCCTGGCTCTGCACTCAAGGAATCACTCCTGGCAGAGTTAAGGGACTATATGGGATGTCAGGGATCAAACCCGGTCTGCCACGTGCAAGGCAGGCATCTTGACCACCATGTATCTCTCAGTTCCTAGAAGAATTATCTGAATTTTATTTTTTTTATTAATGAAACACCATGAGGTACAGTTATAGACTTAAAAATTTTTGTGAAGAATTATCTTAATTTTTAAGCTACTTCTATATTTTGAAAGATTTAGATGAAAGTTAAAGCTATCATCTTGGCTATGTACTCAAATATCTATATTTCTCATCTTCACACTCTTATTTCAAACTTAAGGTTGCTTTATTTTGGGGGGGGCTGGGGGAGTCACACCCAAAGATGCTCAGGGGATACTCCTTACTCCGCACTCAGGATTTACCCCAGCAGTGCTCGGGGGACCATATGGGATGCTGGGAATCGAACCTGGGTCAGCCTCATGCAAGGCAAATGCCCTACCTGCTCTACTATAGCTCCAGCCCCCAGCATTGCTTTTTATAGAGAAGAATGGTGTTTATAAGAGTCAATATTGCATTATTCTATTAAGAGTTATGTAACTTTCCCCTTTTTTTTAACAGGAGCACGAGAAACAGATTACCCCGCAGGAGAAGAGGCCTCAGAGTCTGGACAGGTCGACAAAGCATCTTTGTGTGGGAGTGTGACGAGCAATAGCTCGGCAGAGACCGACAGTCTGCTGGGCGGCATCACCGTGGTCGGTTGTTCAGCAGAAGGGGTGACAACAGCCACCACTTCCCCCAGTACCAATGGTGCTTCTCCCGTGACAGACAGGCCGCCAGGTATATCGGTCCTCTTTACAGCAAGTCTGTGTAGTCTGAGCCTGAGTCAGAAGCTTTGTTATGGATTTCAGTTAGATCTTAAGCTAGCATGGATGAAAGGTGCTGGGATGACGGATCAGTGGCTTGTCCACTGTGGGCTGGGGATGCTGCTTCCCACGCGGGAGGGAGGCCATGGGCTGGCTGCCTTCACTACCCTCCCCGCTCTGTTCCTCGGTGTCGTGATGCAGTGAGTGAGTGAGGAGGGAGTAGGCACAATAGTATCAAGTCGCACTGATTCATGTGAAGAAATTCTTGCAAAACTGACTTGGCACGATTTATTTATTTTATAGAAAAGGAAGCAGAAAATAGTGAGGTTGATGAAAATGTTCCCACAGCAGAAGAAGCCACTGAAGCCACAGAAGGCAATGCCGGGTCAGCAGAGGACGTCACGGTGGACACCTCACAGCCCGGCGTGTACACGGAGCATGTCTTCACAGACCCTCTGGGAGCTCAGATCCCGGAAGACCTCTCGCCAGTGTATCAGACAAGGTATGCAGACGGGTCAGCTTCTTGGGGAATGAGAGAAGGACACACGTGCCAGAAACCCAGAAAACCGCAAAAGCCAACTGTTCTCATGATTATTGTGGCTTAGTCCGCCCCGCCTTACTCTCACCCTGTCTTCCTCCCCCTGCACACACTCTCTCTGAGTTTCCATTCCTCTGTTCCTTCCAACTTAAAGGAAAAGCAATTTTTTATTAAATTTATTTTGGTTTTGGGGTTATGCCTACTTGTGCTCAGGGCTTACTCCTGGCTCTGCACTCAGTAGTCACTCCTGATGGGGCTCAGGGGACCATATGGAGTACTGGGGATCAAACCGGGTTAGCCACGTACCAGGCACGTGCCCTACCTGCTTTACTATCTCTCCTGTCCTAACGAAAACTTTTTATCTGTTTTCATGGTCACTTTCTGCTCTGCTCTGGTACAATTTTTTTTAATTGTACTTTCTGTTTTCTATTCTATTAATAACTCTTTTGCCATTTCAGTACCCCACCCTTTTCATTCCATTAAAAGTCGTCACCAAAAATTGGCCATTGTTTAAATTTCCCTTGTGGGGTTGAATGACCTTCGGAATTTAACTTTCTAAAATTAAATTTTCTTTTCATTAGAAACCATTTTTATTTTAGGATTTTCCCTTAGAAGGTTGTTTAAGCTTGGGCCAGAGCATGTCAGGCACTTGCGTTGCACAGGGCCAACCCGGGTTCGATCCCCGGCATCCCATTTGTTCCCCTGAGCACTGCTAGGAGTAAGCCAGAGTACCAACAGGTGTGGCACAAAAATCTCCCCCAGAAAACGGTTGTTTAAGCTTGAGTTCATTTACTAAGTTCTTTGACTTTCTTTCGTGCCTTCTCGAAGTCTAATGAAAAGCTGATGAGGTTTACCTAAATTGAATCCTTTTTGCAATTTAATATTTTCCCCCGGTATATACAGCAACCAAGTCTTCATCAACATTTAATTATTAACATAAGAATGAAGTAAGACTCATTTGCCTACTACTAAAGTGTGTGATAGTTACACTGCTTTTTTTTTCCCCCCCACTAAATGTCCTGTGACAATATAAAGAAGAATACGTTTGGGGATGTAATACAAGCATAAATCAGCTTATTAATTTCAGAGAATTTTATACTGCTTCTTCATGTGTCTAAGGTTTTAAAACACACCCGCCCACCGTCTTCTCTCCTCCCCCACCCACCCTCGCCCTGGAACAGACTCCAAGTCAGCTGCAAGGGCGAGCCCTCACTAGTGTCTCTACTTACCTTCTGTGTTTCTTTGCCATGTCTTGCCTCCCTTATCTGCACCTGAGTATCTAAGCAAGCTAGTGCTAATCTTGGGGAAGCCGCTGACATATGTATTTGTTGCTTTGGGGGGATTGTGGAGAACCACCCCTGAGTGCCGTGGGGCTGCTCGGGCTCAGTGCTCAGGGGTTGCTCTTGCTCTGTGTTCCTGGTCGGGACCATGCTGGACTCCTCATGCACAGAACCCCTCAGCCTGGTACAGTACTCAGTGGAAGCATTTCACTTTGAATTTGCTGAAAATTTTTGTTTGATTGTGTGTGTGTGTGTGTGTGTGTGTGTGTGTGTGTGTGTGTGTGTGTGTGGGCGGGGGTGTTTTTAAGTATAACATTTCTGAAGTACAGAAATGTTCAGTTTGATGAAGGTTCTTAAAAAAAAAAACGGTTTTTTTAATGTCCTTTTTGTTGCAGACTATAAGCACACTCACATTTTTTTCTTATTTTCCACTTTTGCCAGTAGTGCCTCAGATGTGTTTAAAGATCAAATATCAGTATTACCAACGGAACAAGACCTGGTAAGAGAAGAAGCCCAGAAAATGAGTAGTCTCCTACCAACTATGTGGCTTGGCGCTCAGAATGGCTGGTAGGTGCCAATTCTTTTAGTATTGAGTGTCTTTAATCTGTTGTTTTGCTTTTGAAATAGGAAAATTAGTATGTATGAAATACACGGGTGTAAACTGAAAACCTGTCAGAGGGCTAGGGATGTGTCTCAGCAGGAGAGTACATGCCTCCTATGTGTGCCTGACACCCAAAAACCCCCAAAAAAAGTTCTTACGAAAACTAAGAATTATGTGCACAAATAGATTTGTTTTTGTGTTTGGAGGGCCCCACTTGTCAGAGTAGGTGTGTGGGTGGGAGCTATTACTGACAAGGTCCTTGGGTGCGGGGGCCCACCCCCGTAGTACTTGGGGGACCGTGCAGGGCTGGGGCTCGAGTCAGGGTTCCCACATGTACTCCAGCCTTAAGCCATCTCCACAGTAATAGATGCAAAAATACCGAGGTCATGTTATAACTACTTCTTAAATTGGACTTAACATCAGTTCTGAATGATAAGCCATTGATTTCTCGTCATAGTGCTCCCCTAAATAAAACTTGAAAGTCTAGGTGAACATTTTCTTTGGTTTGGGCCACACCGGGCTCTGCTCCACATTCTGTGCGAGGGGTTTGTGGCATGTCGTGCTGGGGTTCAGACTTGGGTTTCTTGCATACAGAGCATATGCTCATCCCACTGAGCTCTCTGCGGCCCCCAGGTGAACTTTTTAAAATATATGGTGAGGAATTTTATGAGACTGTGCAAAGGTTAAGCAGAGTCATTAAGTGCATTTTTGCAGGGTCTAATACCACAAAGGATCAGCAGTTTTTTCTACAAAGGATCAGATAAGAAAGATGATGGGTCTTGGGACCAGAGTGATAATACAGAGAGTAGGGCATTTGTCTTGCATGCAGCCGACCTGGGTTCGATCTCCGGCATCCCATATTGGTCCCTGAGCACTGCCAGGACTAATTCCTAAGTGCAGAGCCAGGAGTAACCCCTGAGCATCACTGGGTGTGACCCAAAAAGTGTTCCTCCCAAGCAAAAAGTTGGGTCTTAGGGCCACATGGTCTCAAACAGCTGCTCAGTTCTGCCTTGTGGCTGCAAAAGCATCCACTGTACTGACTATACAGTAAGTGAATTAGTGGAACTGTATTCTGGCAAAACTTTAGGAACAGTGAAATTTGAATTTCATATCAATCTCATGTAAAAAAGTATTCTTTCCATTTTTTCCTCAACAGAAAAAGTGAAGTCTGAATTTCATATGAATTTCATGTCATAAAGTATTCTTTTCATTTGTTTCCCTCACATAAAAAATGTAAGCCCATTTTTAGCCTGCAGACAATACGAACACAAGTGGACAGCTATATTTAGTCTCTGGGTCATAGTTCATCATTCCCATCTGTTATCCCAAAATTAGAGTTAGGGTAATAGAATAGTGACGATTTTTGTTTGGTTTTGGGGTCATACCCTGCAGTCCTCTGGGGCCACTTCTGACTGGTACTGGGGGAACCACACCATGCCAGGAATAGAATCTGGGCCTCTGGAATGCAAAATGCACACTTCAGCCCATTGAGCTAGCTCTCTGGCAGGAAACTAACAAAAACTTTTAAAAGACTTTAGCCAACCCATAGCATAGGGTAACATGGAGCTAACTGATCTTGCGTTAGTCCTGCTCTGACATTTTATTTATTGCTTTTTTGGGTCATACCCGGCGATGCACAGGGGTTACTCTTGGCTCTGCACTCTGGAATTACTTCTGGTGGTGCGGGCGGGACCATATGGGATGCTGGGAATCGAACCTGGGTCGACTGTGTGCAAGGCAAACGCCCTACCTGCTGTGCTATCGCTCCAGCCCCCTGACATTTTATTCTTATTTTGCTTAATCAGCTCTTTTTTTCTGCCTTACATAAGCCTTTTCTTTCACTGATTTTTTTTTCCCCTAAAATTTTAATTTTCTTCTTTCCCCCGAAATAACCTTGTGATCATTATCAGGTATAACTCATAACTTGATATGCTCTATACCTTACCAGTCTTGATTTTGTTCTTGCAGTTTATATGTTCACTCATCTGTAGCCCAGTGGAGGAAATGTCTTCACTCCATTAAACTTAAGGATTCGATTCTCAGTATTGTGTAAGTTTTTAGAAACTCTTTTAAAAATAACTTTTGGGATAAACAAGATTTTTTAAAGACTGTTCATGGTAGCATATATTCCGTGGCTAAATCAATATCCAGGTTTTTTTAATGGTTTTTTTTTAAGCCCTCATTATGGAATTAGAGGTATTGAGTGAGATTGAAACTTTTAACTAAGAAAGTCAGTAGAGGCTCCACGTTAGAAGAGAAGCTTGCCTGGCTCTTTTCTCATGTATGGTGCGTTCTTTAGTACCACGAGGAGAGAACCAATGTGCACGTGTTCTAGGATATCCCTTATACTTTGTGAATATATTTGTTTGGGCATTCACTTACCTGTCATTTTTTAATGTGTTGACTCAAAACTCAGTTTTCCTCTTAAGGTCACGGCTGTGGCTCTTTCTATCTCTCCACAGTGTGTGTCTGACCTGTAGACCTTCGTCCACACTGTCGTGAGAAAAAGTGAAGTAGGAGAAGCCCACACATGCTGCTCACTTGGTTCAGTGTCAGCGTATGTGCTGCCGAGCAAGCACAGCTGTGCGTTTGGTTCAGTGACGTTTTCTCAACTGGACTTGCTCAGTGAAGAAGGGCGCTTCCTCCAGGGAAGAAGTTAGGCTCCTCCTCTGTCACAGACCAACTCAGAGAGAGGATCTGAACTAGCTCGTTACTAGGAAGTCCGTTCTGTGTTCCTGAATGGATGGTTCTGAAATCTCCTTTCCTGTTTGCAGACACGTGAAAGGGATTGTGTTGGTGGCCCTGGCTGATGGCACCCTTGCAATCTTTCACAGAGGAATTGGTGAGTTGCTATGAATGTAGGACATGTGCACTAATTTATTGCTTTACAGAAACATTTTCAAGCAGGTCGACTTCATATGCTATAAAGAAATTATACCTACCAGGAAAAAGAATGATGGTGGGATGTGTGACATTTAGCGAATAAGCAAGTGCCTGCCTGGAGGTAGACATTAGTGGTCTGTCCAGTGAAAGTGTTAACCATAATGAGCAAATACCTAGAGACACTATTTTTTTAAATAAGTACTTTCAGGTAGGAAAATTTTAATAAGAATACCTTTTATCTAGTATTTTATGAATAACTTGCATCCACTTACATTTGGAAGGCTTTTTGAAAGCGGTTTTAATTGGGCATGGTTTAATTATTTTCATTATGTTTATTCTTCCCCTGTAAAAACAAGTGGTTGTGCAACTATTAGGGCGCCTGCCTTTCTTGCAGCCAACAGGGTTTCTACCCCCAGCATCTTATGGTCCTCTAGTCCCCACCAGAGGTCAGCCCTGAGAACACCAGGCCCCAAAGCAAAAGTAAATAAATAAATGAAAAGCAAGCGTCTCTATCACATATATGTTGAGGGGGTTATGGTGTCAGAAGATCTGCCTTGAGTGAATTAAATTAAGGGAATTGAGCTGTGTCACTATATAACTCGTTGGCATATGTATTTAAACCACAAATGGTAATTCCTTTTCTTCCTACTATATCAGTAGATTGGGTATTTATTATAAAACTGTAGTTTAGCAAGACTTTGCCCCATAATTTCTTTGCTGGTGTTTGGGGGAGGGTCCTTGTGACAGTCCTTCTAAGGACCTGGGGCGACTCCTGGGGACCACGGCCTGGTTGTATGAACTCCTTGGTTCAGCACTTGAGCCCATGATGCGGTGCTGCTCATTACCAGGGCTCCATCTGGAGATGTAAAGGGTAAGGGGACATGTGGATCTGGGGCTCAGATTCATGCATGCCAGCCCTTTGAGCAATTTTCCTGGCGACTTCTCCCCCACCCCCAAAGTGTTTATATCCATTTGGGCTTTTAGAAAAATGTGGTAGGCTTTGTAACTGACTGGCTCCCACGGTTGAGGTCCATGCACCATATCCTAAAAGAGGGACGGGCTCTGTGATGGCCAGGCGCTTAACAGACTTTGAGGTTAATCCTCACAACAACTTAGATGAATAAATTGAAACATATAGAGAATTTAATGACTTGTTTGTGATAACTCAGTAAGTTAGAAGAGCCTAGAAAAGGTAGATTAAAAACATGTTTGAGGTTTTAGCCAGCAGAATCCAAAATTATATTAACGGGGGGCGGGGTAGGGGAATAATAGGAATAAATGTTAAGTGCTGATTTAGGGTTCAGAAGAGTTAGATGGAAATGACACATTGTAAGAGTGAGCATTACCTAAAGGTTGGCTACAAACTCATTACGAGTTAATGTTTTACAACTTAGAGAAATGAGTTCCCGGGATAGGACTGGTGATAATCCTGCTCTACTATCTTTGTAAAATTGTGACATAGACAAGATACATGCCAAGGATGCTTGCCTTTGAAAGGAGCAAAGTGAAATTGGGCAAAAACTTCAGACCAGCAAGGTAGACTTCAGCTAGCATTTTCCAGACCATTCGTTTTTTGAAAATGGAAAAGCTACTTTTCTTTTTCACTGACATTGCTCAGGTGAAGCTACAAAGTGAAAAAGTCTCCAGTGATGGGCTCTTACCTGTATTTTCTGTCATCACGAAGATTATAGTATCCCTGAGTCATGAGGTGTTAGAAGGGAGTTGCTCCCACATCTCATTGAGAAAATACTTCTAGATGCCAGTGAGCGAAAGGCATTTCTACCCCAGCTGACCTCGAAGCTATGCTCATTCTTAAAGTGCTATCTCATCCAGATGCTGCTGGGGTTCAGGTGCTTCTGACAGGTGGGATCAGAAGACCTTTAAGGTTCTCCACCCCACAGGATGCAGTTTATAGTTTCAATTTCCATCCAAATAAAATGTTTTTTTTTATTAGGAATAGGTGGCCTAACAAGTTACCTCTCTCTTTAAAGATGGGCAGTGGGACTTGTCGAACTATCACCTGTTAGACCTCGGACGGCCGCACCATTCTATCCGGTGCATGACTGTGGTCCACGACAAAGTCTGGTGCGGCTACAGGAACAAGATCTACGTGGTGCAGCCAAAAGCCATGAAGATCGAGGTGAGCTAATCAAGGTTCTCTGACTGCTGAGGGTGTGTTGCCTGGTGACTCTTACAGTGATTGTCAGCTTCTTTAGGAATCATTTTCTTAATCAGTATGTTTTAGGTGTTTTAGTAATCTCATGGATAATACCTTCCTTTTTTACCCTCTTGGTGTTACTTCACCTCTCACTACTTTAACTAGAGAATAGGAAGTAGGTATAAATGTAAAAGTAGGATTCATACATTTTTTTGAATGTTTCATGTGTATGTGAGTAGATGGATGTGTGTATTTGAATACTTTCTTCTTGATACGTGCTTACGTATGGATTGTGTGGGAAGGTGATTCCCAATTCTTCACCACCACATGTGTATTAATAGACACACTTACATGTGAAGCACAGGCTGAGAAATAAGATTGCATTGGGAGTTTGTTATAAAGACCCAACTGCTTACATTTCTTTCTTAAAGGTTTTGTCACATACATGGCATTTATTCTAATTGTTTTCTAAAAAAGCAAAAACTCAAGCTGGAGCGATAGTACAGCAGGTGAGGCACTTGCCTTGCATGCAGCCAACCTAGATTTGATCCCTGGCATCCCATATGGTCCCTCAAGTACCTCCAGGAGTAACCCCTGAATATCACTGGGTGTGACCCCCAAACAAACAACAACAAAAAAGCAAGATTTTAACAGCAGGGAGGTATGAAGGTGAAAATTCTCTATTTCTCTTTGTCTCAACTCTGGTTCCCTTACTTAAAAGTCCAGAGTTTTACATTTGGTTTTGGGGCCATACTGCTAGTGTACTCAGGGGACATCTGATGCCAGGTTTCACCTAGACTTTCACACGGAAGTTCCATGCTCAGCCCTTTGAACAGTCTTCCCTGCCCCAAAGCCCCAGTTTTAGTCCTTTGGTTCCTTTTTCAGATTCTTGAATGTGCACACAACACACTCACACACACACACAGCAATAGGGCTTTTTTTTTTTTTTTAGCAAAAATAGAATCTTTATGTACTGTTTTATACCAGTTCAAAAATCAAAATCACTTTTTAATTTATTAATTTATAGCTTTGGGACCACACCTAGCTATGCTCTTGGCTTTATTGGTCCATGCCAGCGATGCCCAGGGGACCGTGTGCCAGGGATTGAACCCAGGTCTCCCGCGCACACAGTATGTGCTCAGCCCATTGAGCCATCACTCTGGCTATCACTTATCTTACTGAACAGTGGTAGATAGTGTGTTTGTACCAGTTTCACTTTCATGAGTTGATAACCAATATAGTCCTGGATATCAGTATCCTTGAATCCTTGGTTCTTCCATTTTACATGTAGAATAAAATTAGTTGTGTTATAGAGTAATGATATTCAGTAAACAGGTGGTTTTTTTTCAGTATACCAAATTATTAAACAAATTAGTAGTTTTTCCTCATCCTTTCCCTTTGCTATTATTTTGATAATTGGAGATCAGCAAGATTGTACCTGCTTGGTTGTGGTGCTTGTCAGGGCTGTGGTGCCCAAAGCGAGGCCATAGTACTTCCTGGGGTAAGAGAAGGCTCTAAAGAGCCTGGGCCTCAGCTGATGGTCACTGTGGTCTTGCCAATGTTCATACTCCTGACCAGTGGGCTCTCATTTTCACTGTGATTCTTAGCAGGGCTGGCTCCCTGCATTTGTGATGCTCTCAAGGACCTGGCCTCAATGCCCCATAGATCCCACACTCTCTTGGTCTGAGTAACAGCCTCTGGACCATGCCCCACACACGTGGGTGGCACTGGGGTTCGAACCTTGTGTTCTGACTTGGAAGGCAGGCACTTCTTGCCCCTGCACCATCCGCATCTTGCAAATTAATATGACCTTTAAACTTGCACTCCTAGGTAGTAAAAGTAACACTGTATTTTGATCTTTCCTAGAAATCGTTTGATGCACACCCCAGGAAAGAGAGCCAAGTGCGGCAGCTTGCATGGGTGGGGGATGGTGTGTGGGTCTCCATTCGTCTGGATTCCACACTGCGCCTCTATCATGCACACACTTACCAACATCTCCAGGATGTGGACATTGAACCATACGTAAGCAAAATGCTAGGTAAGCTTCCTGAGCAGTTTACCTTAGTCAGTGGAAATGTTTTATTTTTGAATGGTCTCAAATGCTGGGTAAAACCAACAGAGAAGTTGCCTCGGGACTAGAACTCACTTGAAGGGCCAGGTGCTCCACCTGTTCGGTGGTTATTTTCAGAAGTTTGGGATCAATTTTATCTTATTTCCCAGTCGGTCACCACAAACTGTAAACCTTCCCTCCAAAAAATAGCTTAAATCAAACAGCCAGTTACTTCTCGGTCTCCGCTGCTCATTTCCTCGAGTGAGGCACTATCCATTCCCTGCCGGGGAACCACCAGCCTCCCGTTTGTTCTCCCTGTTTCCACTGCAGGCAGTCTCTTGGCTGCGTTATCCAACTGTGCAAACAGCGCTGACATACTTCTGTTTATGGAATGCCAGCCACTTGTAGAAAATTTTTTCCTTTAAAAATTCCTTCCTTGGGGCTAGAGTGGTAGCACAGCAGGTAGGGCATTTGCCTGGCATGCGGCAGACCCAAGTTCGATTCCCAGCATCCCATATGGTCCCCTGAGCACCGCCAGGAGTGATTCCAGTGCAGAGCCAGGAAGTAACCCCTGAGCATTGCTAGGTGTGACCCAAAAGGCAAAAAAAAAAAAATTCCTTCCTTTAAGATTTTGCCTTTCAAAAGCGAGTTGACATTTTGTGACCAGAAGAATTTAAGTGGACTGCTCTATTCTTTCTATTCTTCTGACTCATTCTGTTCTGCCCTCACTCACCCAGACTTGACATTCCCATTTCAGGGCCCTCACATTGCTGCATATTTGGCCTGAGCAGTTTTGTTTTGTTTCTGGACTCTAGTGCCGGGACTGAGTTGGTCTCCACTGTGCAAATCACGCTCTCCCTGGGCCTGCCTAAGTAGTAGTTATTGATCCTTTGTTTGTTTACCTTCCAGACTGTAGTTTACATGTCACATCCAGAAGAGCCTTTTCCAGATCTCCCCGTGTAATAGGTCCTCTGATACCCTTTCTTCATGGGCTTCTCCTTAGTGAGATCAAACGCCTGCCTGGTTGTGGTGCTGGTCAGGATCGATGCTCTCCCTCGACCAGAGCCCAAGCAGGGCAGCAGCCACCTCTGCCCTCCTGATATTCCCTGACACCAGGTTAAGTCTTGTCAACTCTCAAGGCTGTCCTAACAGTCCTTTATGAAGACAGTAAGAGCTGCATCCCGGTGGCCTTAGCCCGTGCCCTAAGAATGTCCGATAAGAGTCATGTGCCTTCTTCCTAGATCCGCACTGAGTCACATCAGTACATGTAGATACAGAGCAGATTCAGTGATCTACTTTGACCAGAGGTTAGAGGTACCTAGGTTGGACTGAATTGTAATTCAGGTTCTTCTAGCACCTGAATTCTTCTAGTTCTTCTAGTTCTTGTGATTCTTTGATTTGTCTTCTCAAATCTTCTCAAAAAAGTTCTTTTTGTTATTGATTTTATTGGGGCGGGGGGGCGGGCTTCACTTGGTATGCTTAGGGGCTACTCTCAGCTTAGTGCTCAGGGATGGCTCCCAGAAGTGATCTGTGAACCATGTGGAGCTAGAGTTGAAGCTGGGCTCCCGCATGCAAAGCATCTGCTCCAGTCCATCTTTAGAACTTTTGGGGGCCACACCCCACTGTGCTCAGGAGTTACTCTTGGCAGTGCTTGGTTGCCAGCTTTGAACCTGGGTCAGCCGCATGCCAGGCAAGCACCCTTCCCACTGTTCTGTCTCTCTGGTCCACACCTTTAGTTATTATAAATAACACCTACAAGTCGCTCAGTGCTGTTTGTCATAGAAATAGTTTCTGTGTGATAGCTTTTCCTTTCAAATTCCAGAAAATAAGAACAGTTGTAAAATTTATCTCGAAATTAAAAAATTTAGATATTGTGGGGGCTGGAGCGATAGTGCAACGGGTAGGGCATTTGCCTTGCACGCGGCCAACCCGGCATCCCATATGGTCCCCTGAGCATCTCCAGGAGTAATTCCTGAGTGCAGAGCCAGGAGTAACTCTTGTGCATCAACGGGTGTGACCCAAAAAGAAAAAAGAAATTTAGTTATTCTTCTTAAACATGCATGGTGCAGGGGGGAGGGGGTGTCTTAAAATTTTAAATATAAGAGAAGCTATAATTATGTATGTACACAAGAATGTGGGGTTAGCAAAGTTGTTTTTATCCATGCAGCGAAATTAAAAGCCGGCCAGAACTCTTTCAGCTTATAAATTTGAAGGATGTTTGATTTCCAAATCTAATAGACTCTTTTTATTGAAGCATTTTTTCATTTGTTTCATAATTTTGTTTGGCTTGTTATTTGCAGTTTCCTAATTAAATCCTGTGTCACATTTCCTGATGGATAGTATCTACTGAATAATGGCATAATACCAACCCTTTTAATAATTTTCTTCTTCTTTTTTAAAAATCTTGAATTCTGGGGCCAGGGTGATAGTACAGCAGGTAGGGTGTTTGCCCTGCACATGGCCGACCTGGGTTTGATCCCTGACATCCCATATGGTCACCCTGAGCACTACCAGGAGTGATTCCTGAGTGCAGAGCCAGGAGTAATCCCTGAGCATCACTGGGTGTGACCCCCCCACATCCCCCCCCCAAAAAAAAGCCATAAAATCTTGAATTAGAAAGTGGTAGAGCTGAATGGGAGTTGGCTTTCAGGCGCACCTTCAGAAGTACCGTTCTCTCTGGTCACACTCCTCGGTTCGAGTACCTCTTCTGAGGGACTCGGAACCTAAAATGCCATCCGCTCTTGCCTTTTAGTGAAACATCTTCCCTGCCACCCTACAGGTACTGGAAAGCTGGGCTTCTCCTTCGTGAGGATTACTGCTCTCATGGTGTCTTGCAATCGCTTATGGGTGGGGACAGGAAACGGTGTCATAATCTCCATCCCACTGACAGAAAGTAAGTATATTTCTAGCTCACTCTGAGAGTGCAAACAGGAGAGGTGCAGGCAATTATTGTGTCTCAGATGCATGCAAAAGAAATTGTTTTTAGTAAAAGCAAATCTGGTAATCTAGAAAATCAAGCTGGTGGCAAAGGTCTAACTGTTGTTGCTTCGCTGTTTCTCTGAAACCTATAAACTAGCGAATAGCTTCTGTGTACGTATAATATCACCAGAGTTTAGAATATGCAATTTTCTAAGAAACTTTTTTTTTTTCCTTTTTCTTTGCGGTGGGTGGGGAGCCAGGTGATGCTTAGGGCTTACTCCTGGCTACACTCCAGGATCACTCACTCCTGGTGGTGATCACGAGTGGAGCCACAGATCAAGCCCGGGTCGGTTACGTGTACGGCCAGTGCCCTGGGCCCACTGTACTATCTTTCTCACCACAAGAAGCTATTTTTTTATTCCAGGAATCAATCCTGTTTAATCTTTTGAATAAAGGCTGAAGTCCATTTTCTTTTCAGCTTTTTTGCACCAATATCCTGAAACACTTCCTAGTGTTCATCGTAGTTTTTCATCTCTCCCTGGCAGATAGCTTATTCCATTTAGCTTATTTGAGTTTTAGAATTGCTGTGGGAGAAATCAGCAATTCCTTTATGCCAGAGTCAAGCCAACTATCCTTTGGAAAGAAATGTGGTGAAAATTTGGAAAGAATGTTAATAAGATGTTCATTACATATTTTTTATATTTTCCATTATTTTTGTGTGTGGATAAAATGTATGTTGTATGTTATTCATATTATGTTCCATTACATTGGCCATTCATTAATGATCTTATTTTTTTTGTATGTGTTGCAGAATTCACAGGCAGGGTATGATTTTAAAACAAGTGCCAAAAGACCACCAAATAGTGAACAGCTCAGTATTTCCCTGTGTCCTCAGGGGAAAGGGAGGAATTCTAGAAGATGGTACATCTGGATCCTTTGGAGAACATTGAATTCTTAATCCTAGCTCCATTTTTCCTAAAGTAATTTCTAAATCTACATGTTTAGACCAAAAGATTGGTCTTCTTGTATCCTCAAAGAATCCAGGGTATCTGTTCTTTATGGGAGAGAGTTCTGTTACAGCATACTAGTTTCTACAGGATTAATTTTTGTTTGTTTTCTGTTCTTTGGGGCCACACCTGACAGTGTTCAGAGGCTACATGCAGCTCGGTGCTCGAGGGTCTCGCCCAGCCATGCTGGGGGACTGCACAGTGCCGGGGATTGGGACAGGGATCCAGAACGCAAACCAGACACGCTGGCCCTTTGAGCTCTCTCTGGCCCCCTCAACAGAAATTTTTTAACAAAAGGGATAATATCAGCTCTGAGGAAATTAAGTTCTTATTCACTGAGATTGCTTTGTACTTCAGAAAAGCAAAACTATAGTAAATGGAACTGTCCTTTTTGAGCAGGGATTTCTAGCGGGTTTGGTAAGAGCTTCATGTGTCACTTGGTTATTTTGCCAAGTTCAGTTCGGGTGATTTGGTTGAGAAGCCTGAAGCTTGAGTGCCCAGGTGCCAGATGGGAGATGCTGAGAGTGGTGGCTCATAGTAACCCTTCTCCCCCTGTCGTGCCCCCTCCATGTGCCCTCTCCCCTCTCTCACTGTAGCCGTAATCCTCCACCAGGGACGTTTACTGGGGCTCCGGGGTAAGTGCGGATCCTACACCCGTTCTTCTCCTGGCTTCTCAGAGCCGCTAGGAGGCTGCTCTCACTTCTCTAGCGTCCCCTCCTGAATGTTCCTAAATGTCATCCACTCGCAGTCACTGCATCGCAGCGGTGTCTCTCTTTTTTGTTTTTTAATCCTTGTTACATGGCCACCAAACTGCCGCTCAGCAGCTTAGTCTGTTTATCATCTTTTGTTGCAGCTGAACTTTCTTTCAGACTTTTATTTTTTCTTCCAGTAAAAACATGGACCATCTCCTAAAACTGTCATTAATCTACATTGTTCACTCTCGTTACCAGTCGTGTTTCTTTCCTTCACTTACTGGCCATGGAATGGGGATGTTTTGTGAGTCTGGTCATTCGAAAAGAGTTCAACATGCCATTAGTCTGGTGTTAAAAAAAAAAGCTACTCTATTGTAGTCGCTGAATTTTTTTTTAATAGCTTTTATCACCCCTTTCAAAAAGGAATGTCTATGTCACAAGGGGAGAAAAACATAAAATACAAAAAATTTAAATGTACCTCTTTACTTGGTATAAGTCTTCTAAGATAGAAGTTAAGAAGCAAAGTAATAAGCATTCAAATGTTTTTGTTAATTAAAGTGGTTTTTAAAATACGCTTAGTTTTTGCTAGACTGGCAAAATCCCCTCCTCCATTTACTGAAGTACTTCAAAATAACTAGCATGCTATATCTCTCTCCTTTTTTCTTAGCTTTGTCTTGAGTTGGCATTGCTGCCTTTGTTTTATCTCAACTGGCTGTAGCTTGTAGATAATATCATAAAGATTAACCAGTAACCTCACACGTCATTACTATCTTCTAGAGTTGAAAAAAAAAATTCGGTACTTGACTTTTCTGTTACAGCAAATAAGACCTCAGGAGCATCAGGAAATCGTCCTGGCAGTGTGATCCGTGTATACGGTGATGAAAACAGTGATAAGGTGACTCCAGGGACCTTTATACCTTATTGTTCAATGGCACACGCACAGCTTTGCTTCCACGGGCACCGGGATGCTGTGAAATTCTTTGTGGCCGTTCCAGGTAAGTTAGATTCTTCTGTTGAGAAGTTACATTTAAGCATCTCTTTTCTGGGTTGTAGCAGTAGTACAGCAGGTCGAGTGCTTGCCTTGCAGGAGGCCGACCAGGATTCAGTCCCCAAGCACCACCAGGAATGACACCTGAGCACAGCCTGGTGTGGCAGCCCTCTAAAAAAAGTTGTTCTTTTTATTCATAATAAGGGAGCCGGAGAGATACAGCACACAGGGCACTTGCCTTGCATGCAGCCCAGCTAGATTCGATCTCCAGCATCCCATATGCTCCCTTAAGCCCCACCAGGAGTAATTCCTGAGAGCAGAACCAGGAGGAAGCCCTGAATCCTGCCAGGTGTACCCCAAGTCCTTCCCCAACAAGAAAGGAAGGAAGGAAAACAGGAAGGAAAGAGAAAGAAAGAAATCCTGCTAGGTGTAGCTGCAGACAGGAACATAAATCCTGAACTGGAAGACTCCTCAGAATGCTCCCCATCCCCGTGTGTGGTGGGTGCGAGTCCCAGTGCATGCACACTGGGGGATTGTGCTCCTTGAGTCCTGCTGATCAGCCTGCCCGCCGGAGGTAGCTTCCACACCTGTTTGTAGTTGTGCTGTTCTCCAGCCTTGTCCCCCCCTCTGTTGTGTTCTCGTTCACACCGAGCTGTGGAGAGGCAGTACCAGGAGCCCAGAGAGCAGAGCATGGGTCTCCCCTGGGGATCCAGCTCACGGCCTCCTGCTGGCAGAGGTGGGCGTTCTACCCACCAAGCTGTCCGCTGGGCCTCAGAGATGTTTCTCATTGCTCACAGACTCACAGTTACCCTGCACTGGAGAGATCTTGCCATGGTCTTCAGACCAACGGCTGTAGGTGGAGCCATCTGAAGCGGGTGCTCCTGACCCGCCTGGCTCACAGATTTCGTCGTGGATTTTGGACCCATTCCACTTTGGTGCAAAACCGCTTCACTTAGATTTTTTTCACCGGGTTCTTGGGACCTTTATCCTGCTAATATCCCCTAGTACTTGGGTTGTATTAGAAAATGCTTACTTTCTGTTTTGCAGATACTCAGAAACAAACAAAAAAAAAAGTGAATCTCCTGTACCCCAATCTGTGATAAGTAATTCTCACTTATGTTTCTGTGTAAATAGGCCAAGTTGTCAGCGCACAAAGTGGCAGTAGTGGCACAGAGTTAGCAGGTGACAAGGCAGGGCCGTCTGCCCAGGAGCCTGGCAGCCAGCCGCCCTTGAAGTCCATGCTGGTCATCAGCGGAGGGGAGGGCTACATCGACTTCCGCATGGGTATGTGAACCACTGGGTCTGGGGCTCAGCCCCGCTCTGTTCCGTGACAGTTTCAGTCCCTGGAGTAAATACAAAGTGATTTTTAAGAGATTCTCTTTGAATTCTTTGCTAGGGTAAGGACTTGTATAAAGTGTATTTCTTTGGAGGAGTATTATAATAAGTGGTAGGGTTTGAGGCTGAGGAGAGTAGTACACGGCATGTGTCCAAGCCAGGCATGTTGCCTTGCACTCGCAGCAGCAGGCTAGCCCTGGTGGTCCCGGCACTGCATCCTTAACCTTAGCACTGAATTGCTGGCTTTGCTGACCGAGAATCACTGGGAGGGGTCCCTGGGACCCCTGAGCACCATGGGGAGCTTTCCCTCCCTGTCGTCCAACATTGCAGGGTTTGGTCATATATTAAGATTGATGTGAGGGGCTGGAGCTATAGCACAGCAGGTAGGGCGTTTGCCTTGCACGCAGCTAGCTGACCCAGGTTCAATTCCCAGCATCCCATATGGTCCCCCAAGCACTGCCAAGGAGTAATTCCTGAGTGCATGAGCCAGGAGTAACCTCTGTGCATCGCCAGGTGTGACCCAAAAAGAAGAAAAAAAAAAGATTGACATGAAAAGTATAAGATGTGGAATCAGAAGGCTGTGGGAAAGTTATTCAGCTTTACAGATTCCAGTCTCCTCACCTGCAAAATGAATAAATGAAATAGTTCAAATTGATATCATCTATTCATTTGCTCACCTCGCGAACATTGTGTGTCTCCTGTTCTCCCTAATGTTGAGATAGAAAAGAAATTGCCAGAGTCTTTGTAGAACAGTGCAGACAGAAAAATGGGTTAACAGAGTGTCACAGTACTCGGTGGACAAGCAGCCGTTAGTCCTCTCCGGGTGTAGGGAGCGAGGGATATGAAATGACCCTTAAGATGACTCCCACTTAGTCTAAGGAATTGGGTTGGAGCACGGCAGTGATTTTCAGCCATCTGCACCGTGGGCACTGCTCCATAAGTATATAGAATTTGAACACTCTGGATATGGGATGGGGAAGGGTTGGGTGTTGGACATCGAAGAGAAAGGGCCACTAAAAAAAGGTGGTGGGTAAGGCAGAGTGAGGTGCAGAGAAGACCGCAACATTTTAGGTTTTTTTCTCTTCTGTTTCTAATTACCAGCTTGAGTGTTTTGCCAGCTGAAATTCTTATTAGACACATTACAGAATCCTGGATTTCAGTATTTCTTTTTCCACTGGTACATCCTGCTGAAGAAGCTGTTCCACTGTATGAGTTGTTCATAAATCGCACTGTTGATTATAATCGCACCTGAAAATCATGGGAAGGAACTCAGTCCTCATACAGCACTGCAGGGCGACGGTCTTAGTGCCAGTGTCCTGCTGTTCGTTATCTTTGTGGCCCCTGTTAGAGAACCTCTCTGTCAGGGTGTAGAGATTGAGCTGGGTTCTGTGCTCCAGGCTCATTCTTGTACTTTCACACAGCCTAGTGCCAGTTCTGAATTGGAAATAGACAAGTGGAGATCATCCACTTCGGGTGAACAGAATTGAATGTCTTCGCTTAGCTTCCCATTTCTGTTTTCCGTTGGCAGACATAATGGATCGAGATTCCAGCATAGTAGAGTGAACTTTTATAAATGTAGTCTGGAAAATGAATTAACCTTTCAGGAGTCAGCAGTGAAGAGTGACTCGCGGCGTTTCTTGTAGTGTTTTCTGTCATGGTGACCAGACGGGTTTTGTGCTCCTGGGCTGAGCCTAAAGAGGCTCGGTCTGATTGATGGCATTTCCTTCCCAGCCTAACCTGAGTCTCCTTATCCTCCACCAGGTGATGAAGGTGGAGAATCAGAACTTCTCGGAGAGGATCTTCCACTCGAACCTTCTGTTGCCAAAGCAGAAAGGAGTCACTTGATCGTATGGCAAGTGATGTATGGCAGTGAGTGAGCCCGTAGGAGAAAGATGGAGGCGGGAAGCCGTCTCGTCTGCATGGTTTCTTTTCCCGTTGCCCCTTTATTTAATGCTCTCCTAGTGAAAACTTTTACCACATAATGTGTGAGCATTTTTTTCTGTTAACTTTCTATCACAAAAATCTGTCCTTAACTGTAACAACACAAAACTAGCTGTTTTACTGCACCAGTATTATAGGCAATTTCAGTATATTATGAACAAATCAAAAAATGTTTACTTTATGCAAACTGGTGAATTATAGAATGCAATCCAGATGTGGTTTATTTTGCCACAGCTAATGTCACTCACCGTGTTTGAAAGGGTCACTTTTTGGCTATCACTAATAATGGAATTAATGGAAACGCTTGATAAGTGAAACTGTACTGTTAAGTACAATAGTAGTTTTCCCCAACGTCTTAAAAGATTGACACAAACTAATATCAGGTGGATTATTAGGATTTATCTAAATGTCCCAAGAGGGCTAAAAGCTAACTGTAAATTACTTTCACTTTCAAATCTGACAAATCTTGTTTATAGGGTATATAAAACTTTGTTTTCATCAGATTGGGGGGAGGGTTTTATATTAAAGAAATTAAGACTACACTATTTAAATAAAAGTTTCCTGTTTCTGACTTATTAAGAGCTCTATAGTTTATGAGGCTTGCTTCTGAATATTCTGATATTTTTTTTAACCAGTCTTGCTCATTTCCATATTGACATGTCTGAAAGGCTTGTTATTTCTGAAGAAGATATGCCTCAGTACTAGGAGGTTTTGTTTTGTTTTTTAATGAAAAATGTGTTTTGGATTTTTTGTACTAGCAGATGGTGGTGGTTGGTTGACTTTTTTCCATGTTAAAAAATGTACCTATTTACCCATTCTTAGACTGCTTGAGTAAAGCTGGGATGGGTTGGGGTTGGCCTGGCCATGTGGGGAATATAGGATTTGATTAGAAATGCTTTTTCCTCGCGGTCTGTTGAAAAACGACAAACATCTAGCACTTGATATTTAGTATGTAAATGACACATTTAAGCCTTTGTGTCCTTTTGATATTAAAATGTCATCTCCAGTGAGGAAAGTGATGGAGGGGGGAAAGCCGAGATGCCATCTTTCCACTCACAGCGCCCAGTGATTACAGTCTAGCTTTCCTAGATTTTTTTCTTGTTTTGCGTGTTTTTGTTTTGTGCTGGGGCCACGCTTGGCAGTGCCTGGGGGCTGCTCTGGCTGCTTGCTTGTGTGCGGCTCAGCTCAGGGAACCAGGCCGTGTTGGGGGTCAAACCCCAGGCTCCAGCCTGTCTCCTAGTTACCCTCTGAAACAAGTTAAGCTGTCTCCCTGGCCCTTCATGTTTTAAAAATCACTATTCTGCAGGGTGTTTCCCTCTCAAATTTTATGAAAACGTGTTACTTATCATTTCCTACACAGTACTTGAAGCAAACTAAGTGCTATTTGAAAATGCAAGCCTGGGGCCAGAGCTATCTAGTACAGCAGGAAAGGCACTTGATCCCTGCATCCCATCTGGTTCCCCAGACACCGCTAGGAGGGATTCCTAAGTGCAGAGCTAGGGGTAACTCTTGAGCACTGCCAGGTGTGGCCCTAAACAAAACAAAAATAAAATAATAGAATAAAAATGCAAACCTATTGGATCAAGGCCCTCCAGTCATCAGAAAGACTGCTTCCAAGCAAAGTCTTCATTCCATCCAAGCCTTCCTAGGTTCCACGCTTTTGGTTCCTGTCCTGTCGTGCAAAGATATTTTTAAAAAGAACTCCAGTGTCTTATAAGCATTTATATGATTAGGTTAGATTTTTAAAAATGGAATTTAATCAGCCAGAGGAAGCCTTTGGCTACATGTGTCTATATATAAGCACATTGTATACATGGTAAAATTGTGGCCACTTGGGGTGGCTAGATTAAATTAAGTTTTCATAAAAATTGTATTAAGAGGATAATTTTTTTGCTTTGAGTCACTTTTCTCCCGGCCATCAAATCATAGGCCATTTTCCCACCACTTAAAGCTAAGACTTTATTTTCAATCAGAGTGATTTTTGGTAATAACCATAGAAAAACGTTATTAACTATTTTTGGGGAATGTTGTATAACTTTACAAGAGACACCAAAGTGTGGGAACCTTAACCCTGAGTAGCAGGTGTCCCGGAGTGAGGCTCCATTTGCTGTTCAGATTTTTTTACATGTTTGTATGACTGAATGTAATTTAGGGGATCAGGAGTTAAAGTGAAAAATGCAAACATACTACAATAACTGTCACGGTTCTTTTAAAACTTACCAGGTGTTAGTTAAGGTAGATAGAGGTGTGGCATTATTTTATCTAAACCTGACCTTTTATTGTGGCCCTGTTCATTAACATCAGGAACTAGAGAGAGTACAAAAGCATCTGTACAATTTATTTTAGGGGCTTGTCCTTATGTTTGTCATTTTACTTAAATATTGTCTACAGACTACTTTACTTCCTCCCTCCTATTCCCCCAAAATGGATTTATTTCTTGTGAAGTTCACTTTGGTCAAGGTGGTAACCTTTGGAAGAAAATGCCAAAATGGAAAGCTGCTTGGAGGCAGAGAAAGTGACGTGAACTACCTGTAGTTGTCACATCAAGGACAGAGGAGAGGCTTCAGTACCTCAGGCCAGTCTCTTCGTGTAAAAGAAAATTACACCTGTTGGAAAGAATAACGAATGCTGGAGAATTCTCTTTCTATTACCTCTGGGTCATATGTGAGGTTGAGCCACGTGAAATTGCTAGTTTTCAACCATTTCTGATCTGCCAGAATGGTACCAATACACACACACACACACACACACACACACACACACACACACACACACATAGCTACACGCGCAAACACAATAGATCCTCAGGTGTTTGTGTGTTGGTCAAATGAATCTAAATTGTCAAAAAGGAATGGATCTCTTAATTGCAGCATGTTAAGTATAAGAACAACAACAAAATGATGCAGCACATAGCTTTTTCATTTCAGTCTGTGTGCATGGAAAAGGGTAAAATACATTCTCTCAGTTACTGGATTGTTTCTTGTGACAGTCTCTGCATTTGAGAATAGACAACCTTTAACACAGGCTGCCTTAGTACCCAGACAAAACAGGTGTCCCTTGATACTAACTGGCCTAACGCGTGTGTCTTTGGCCAGTGCTATGGAACTGAATATGTGTTTCCTCCTGAGTATTATGACCTTTACCAAAGCACTCAACCTAGATATAGAGGTTTTCTGAATTGATCATGTTAAGAAAGGGACTCGTCGGGTCCCACTTTGTGACATAGGAAGAGTAGAGAGAATTCAAAATGGAAATCACAAATGCTTTTCTAACAAGCTTACACTATTTTGTAACACTAAATGTGCTTTTCTTTCTCTAAAAATTAAGTTCTTTTTATTAATTTTATTGTATATTTCTCAATATTTGAATATATTTTAACCATTTTATGTTCTTTTTTTTGTCCTAGACATTTTATCAGGAATCTTGTTGCCTCTATAATCTGAAAAATGGGTTCTAGAGTGTCTTACTTGCTCTCTCTTAGAGGCTGAGGTTTCATTTCTCGGAGCAAAAAGCTCATTTAGCAATGTAGTTATTTCAGTATTTATTTCTTTTATGGAATCCCTGGGGTTCGGAATGTAACTTTGTACATGAAATATATATAAATATGTATATGAAACATTTATGAGCGCTCGTGTGTTCTGTCTTTTTGCCCTTCCTAGGAAGTCTGAACTTGATTTTTATTTGAAATTCCAGTAATCTTCTTCCATCAAACAGGCCATTTCTGAGGGTTACTTGGCTCTGCCTGAAGGTGGACAGTGGGAGTACCCGTGAGCATGCTTGCTCCCTCACGTGTTCGGCGAGCTATGAGTAATAGGGCTCTCTAGAAACGTGGGAGTGCTGAGTAACAACCCACACAGGACACTCAGGCACACCACTCGCCAGATTACTCAATCATAAGCGGCAGGCTGTAATGTTAAAAACACACATGCTTGTTAGTGATCCCTGTGCCCGGGAGACTCTGGAAGAAGGGTGGTTAGAGAATCACGTGGGAGCCGACGTGCTTCCAGACGCAGTGTCGTGGGGTGGAAGTGTTTGTGTGGAAGAAGTGTGGGGTTTGACAGGAGAGCCCTGTGTTCCCGTTGGCCTGTTGCAGGCAGCTCAGCAGGCAGGCGCAGCCGGGTGCTGCATGGGAGAAGTCATAGCCTGGCCACGCCTGCCCTGGAGGACTTAGCCTCGCAGCTGCCCCCTGCGTCCTGGGGCACTGCCACGGCATTCCTTTGGAAATGGATTCTTTTGAGTCTTACTGATTCCTCTTTGTGAACCAGCCTGGCTCTGGGGAGGCCGGAGTAGCCTGGAACGGGAAACGCTCATTTTCATGTGGTTGGAGGCACAGGACAAGAGTGCTGTTCTCATAAAGTCCCAAGCGCGCGCTCTCCTCCAGCCTCGAGCACCCCCACCCAGAAGGAAGGCAGGGACCAATGTGTTGGCAAGGGGACTCAGAATGCCTTAAATACCATCTCCAGCTACAATTCCAGTGTTTTGTGTTGTCTTTTGTCTCAAGGGCCTTTACCTGGTGGTTCTGGGGTAGCAGTCAGGTCGGGGAATATGATACCTGTCAGTCGAATGCGGACGGGGTGGGGCTTGCAGATTCTGGCTCTTTGGTTTGCCCCCGTTTGCTGTCCGGGTCAACATCAGCCACGATTGCTGGGCCGGCCTGAAATGGCCTTGGACCCCGTCCCTCATGGCGCATGTTTCTGGCATGCTGCTGATGGTTCGGAATTTCCAATTTTGTGAGCAGTGCTGTATCAAAGGAGCCAGACAGTTTAGCTGTCTGCTTAGAACCTTGGCACCACCCCACAGACAAAAAAGTTGCTGTGATTTGACTTGAGGCTTTGAAGGAGTTAGACTGAAACACTTTATAGCTCAGAAAGAAAGTGACTGCCCATGAAAGACTCGCTTCTCAGCGGCCAGAATCCCCCAACCGAGTGAGTTCTCGGGTCATTTTTCCTTCTGACACTCCCCGCAGGAATCTCAGACTCTGCTGGTGTATTTGGGAAAAACTCAGACGATTCTGCTGCTTCTGTGGGGAACAGCTGCCCAAGAGAAACTCAGAGCAGCCCAGCATCTGCTTCCAGGAGCCCAGCTTGGGGCAGGCTGGCTGCTCCCAGCTCGGTGGGCTGCTAGCAGGTTCCCCCCGGGCCCAGCCCACATTCTGTATGGCCCGCGGGGTAACTGAAGTGTAGGCACTTAGAACCAACCACCGCATGGAACTCTGCAAGGCTCTGAAGGAAACTCTGGTGGTAGAACCCAGTGCTGGCATGTGTGAGGGCCTGACCCTTACCGCTGGCACTGCGTGGCCCCCGTGCTCTGCCGGGTACGTTCCTGGGAGCTCCCTGATGTCCCCATGACACTCCTGCTCCAGCACTGCTGGGTGTGACTCTAAAAGATAAATACACATTAACTGGTTAAAGTGCATCCCCCGTTCACTTTGGCGAGGCTATCCTCTCAGAGAAGAGACGTCAGGCCCTAGGTGTCACAAGAGCGGCTGCAGAGGAGCTGGGCCTTGCTGACACTAAGGTCACAGTTGATCGGCAACACAGTCCTTTTTGTCATCCCCAGGTGATCCAGGGCCGAGCCGTCTGAGCTGAGTGAAAACTCAAGGCCCTCTGTGGGGGACCTGTGGGGGCTGAGGAGAGGACCAAGTCTGGAGTCGGGAAATTTCAGAGCCCCAGCGAAAGTACAGCGGGTAGGATACCCACCGTGAACACGGCCGACTCACATTCAGTTACTGGTACCACATAGGACCCCCAAGCCAGCCAGGAATGATCCCTGTGTGCAGAGCTAGGAGTGAGCTCTGAGTACCGCTGGGTGTGGCCCCAACACAGTGACCCCCAGAGGGTGCTTTTAGCTACAGTTCATGTGACAGCTCGTCACCTGCCCACTCAACTGTCCGCTTCAGAGGCTCCTGGGATCAGGAGTGTGAGGGCGAGGAAGACACCCTCACGGGTATTGGAACTAAGGAAGGAAGTACAGAAATCACGACATGTGGGCGAGTATTATGGCTGTGTGATAAAAGCAATACTCGAACAAGTAATATTGATGTGGTGTCTGCTTTGTCTATTTAGTAATATAACAAAAACATGGGCTAGAGCAATAGCAAAGGGGGTAGGGCGTTTGCCTTGCACGCAGCCAACATGGCCAGCCCGAGTTCGATTCCTCCGCCCCTCATGGGGAGCCCGGCAAGCTACCGAGAATATCTCGCCCGCACAGCAAAGCCTGGGCAAGCTACCCGTGACGCATATTCGATACGCCAAACACAGTAACAACAAGTCTCACGATGGAGACGTTACTGGGCCCGCTCGAGAAAATCGATGAGCAACGGGAGAACAGTGACAGTAACAGTGACAGTGAACAAAAGCATATTACATATCTTTTATTCCTAGTCAATTTGTCCATATTGTGGACCATGGCTATGTTGGGACCCTGTCAGACTTTTCTCAGCCCCCGTATCTGGGAAAGGAGTGATCCATAAGAACTGTATCACTTCACCCCTGTTCACGCACAGAGGGACGTGTGAAAGCAGGAAAAACGACGATAAATTTGACATAGAAGCATTCACAGCACTCTCGGTGCCTTAGGACGCGTTAGAGGCTGGCACTGCTGCCTTTTGAACACAAGGTGGCGCCATGTTGTTATTCCCCTCCCCTGTGTCCCTTCTTGCTTGTCCACCCAGCAGGGCAGGCCAGACCAGACCAGTAGGGTGCCTCGTCGGGATCAAATTGTACAGATAAGGGAAACTAGTACACTTTCCTAACAAGTTGAGGCCCCGAGTAGCTGTTGTCCAATAGCAGAGCTCGGCGTAAGAACTCGCGACTTTCGGCCGGGAGCACCTTCTACCCGGCTGCCTCTGGATTCTCATAGGCCGCAGTTCTTCCTTTCATTCACCAGAGGCGAGGAAAACGCCTTTTCTAGCTTCCTCACCAAGGCAGCAGGAGCCCAGGGACCAAAAGGAAAAGCTCGTCCAGAGCCCAGAACCATTGCCAAGGGGAGGACCAAGTGGGCTGGACGCCCTCAGAGAAACAGTGGCACACACAGACACTGATGTCTGGTCCCGACAGTTGCAGGAGCATTTCTGCAGCTGCCCCCTCTGATGGGAGCTAAAGGGAGCGTCAGGGAATCAGCTTAGCCACTGGCTTGCAGAGAAACCTCATCCAAGGCCGATAATAAATAGGAGTTATGTAACTCTGCGGGGCACAGCACTAACTAAGCCCTTTATAGGCCATCAATCCACATTTATTTCCTGGATTTTATAACTGCGGCTGAACACGAGAAGGGAGGGGGTGAGGATTAGAGGGGGAGCTTCTGCGTGACTGGAATAATCTCCAGGTCTGCGCCTCAGTCCCCGCCACCCGGCCCTGCACTCATCCTGGAGGAGCTTGTGAGATGGGCTTGATGGGGTCCCAGGGGCCTCCAGCCGCTTGCCCCTCCTTGCAGCAGCTTGCGGCTGCTGTTCTCTCGGGCTTGCAGGTGGGGTTTTTTTTTGGGGGGGGGGGGGAGTGAGGGATCATTTTGGGTTTTGTGCCACACCAGCAGTGCTCAGGGCTTACTCCTGGCGGGGCTTAGATATCATACCGCCATCGAACCTTGGGTCAGCTGTGTGTGAAGCAAGCACTTCCCTGCTGTACTAGCTCTCCGGCCCTTGGCCTACAGTTTTCTGTCCTAAAGTGACAACTCAGGAAGATACATGGGCCCCAAAAGGGGGGGAGAGTGATACCATCCCTCGGTCAGGAGCCCAACGGAAGGGGCGGTAGTGACCTTGGTGCAGTTCGGAGGCATTTCCTGTCTACATAAAGAAGGTAGTTTTTTTCAGGGGAGGTGCTAAGTAATTTTTTTCCTGCAAGGGAGCTGATAAAGTCAAGTACGTTTGGATAGCTTTGGGGTTAAGTGACCCGTGGAATCCCTCTCAGCCCAATGACTTGAAATATTGAAAGCAAAACAGTGGGCCTGGAGAAAAAGCATAGAGGTTACGGCACTTGCCTTGTGGGCTGGAGTGACATGCAGCGGACCCAGGTTCCATCCCCGGCCCCCCCATATTGTCCTCTGGGCACCACCAAGAGTAACACCTGAGCATCGCTGGGTGTGGCCCCATAAACAAAACAAAAAGGCACTTGACCAGCATGTGGCTAGCCCTGGTTCAATCCCTGGTACCACATATGGTGCTCGAGCATTTCCAGGTGCATCCCAGGAGCCCCCGAAGCACCGAAGGACCCAAGAACAACACACTCGGACACAGTCTCAGGACCTCACAGCACAGTGGGCAGTTGGCTGAGAGTTTCAGCGAGTTGCCCCAGGACCTCCTGAGCACTGCTTGGGATCCCCACCTCGCCCCTCAAGAAAGACTGCATCTGGTTTCCCTTTTCATGCTCTGCCCCCACCCACCCACCCTCAGTTTTATGTGAGAAGCTGTTAGGTCTTGGAGAAGGGGGAGACAGGTGTTACCCCAGTAATGGAGGAAAGGGAGAGGAGGGACCTTCTGAGCCCGGGCTGTATCCGTCCATCCGTCTGTCCCCCCCTCAGGAAAGTGAGGAGGGTGTTGAAATGGAAGGTCGGGGGTCCTTGGAACCGTGGGCAGCAGGAGGGCCGCCCAGTCCTCCTAGGGGTCTGGGGTGTGGGAGCCC